ACCTGAAAAAACAACATTCTGCTCAGTATGCAGAATACAGCAAATCAGAAGACGTGTTTGAACTGACAAAATAATTCACAAATGACGAAGCCAAAATGCAGACTATCACAAAAAATAGAGGAATCCATTGACTTGGCTGACGGGCAGTTCTCTGTTGTGAGGACATTTTATGGCACATATGGAAGCATATGCACCGTGATCAGTTTGGTATGTTTATATTATGTGAACTTTTTTTAATTTAATGTCAGCTTGGTTTTGGTTTTTGGCCAAGTATTTCCTGAATTAGTGGCTTTTGGATTTAACTGTTGCCAGTAAGGTTTTTCCTCAAGCTTCACTATGTATGGAAGAACATTTTTGTAACACCAGATCTTACATAGTGCAGCTTTGTATGTCATTTTAGTGTAAAGAAAGAAAGTCTATTGTTACACAAGTTAAAAAATCAGAGATTCTTATGTTGAGTGCTGTGTCTTCTGAAACCATCTATGAGAAAATATGAAATGTAACTGAAGATAACATTAATTCAGAGACTGGGCTGTGATTCCATGCCATCTCCACAGCCATCCGACCACTCTAACCTAATTACTCTGGCCTTCGCTGGAGTCATTTCAGCTTAGAAACTTTTAGCGGAATTGCTATTGATTCCAAAGTGGCTAGACTTTCACTGCAGAGACTGATTAGGGGGAAATCAGATTCCAGTTGCCTGATGGACGGTGCCCTATTTTGGGTCATGCAATCCATGAGCCAACCCCCTCCAACCACCCCCTCCCGACCGCTATCGCACTTCTAATTATGACCTCCATTTCCCAGCAACGATGAAGTCATATAGAACCATTGCTTGCACGGAAACGGCTATGATCACGGCATCCGCGATGAAACTCCAGGGAGCGTCTCTCCATTTTTCTCATGTTCTCTGTCCTTGAGGGAGCAGCAGAGGGGAAAAAGAGAGGCGACAGTAATGATGGCATCTCGACTGTTCCAGGCTCCGTCTCACGGGGCCTGAAAGCTCGCGCGCACACACACACACCACACACACGCTTTCACTCACCGGCACACATTTTCTCATGCCATTCTTTTCAGCTGATGCCTCACTGACACTTGATGGCGACTCGAGGTTCTCCTGTCTCTTCTGAAGAGACAGACTGACAGCCAGGCCCGCTGCAGTTTATCTTCATTGTGAAAAGCCAGAATGCTGGAAAAGCCGGAATGTTGGAAAAAACCACAAGCTTATTATCAGGGATTTATGCCGTGGAACACAACAAATGGTCTAGAATACTGAGAAGGAAAAAGCACGAAGCTGCTGTATGCAATGTTCCTGATGATGAATGAAAGCCAAACAAGGTGTATATCATGATTTGTGTTTATTTCATATTGTACAGTCTACACTACAAAAATGTACACAAGACATTCTCACAGGAGCTGCATGCCAGAGAAAAGTTAATGCTGAGGGTACGAACGCTGTGTTTTTCAAATGAATAATTCAAGGAAGTGAACTACTTTTCAGTAGAGTTTTAAGGTGAATAGTTAAAGTTAAGCCTCTCTCTCTTAAGCTTTACTAGGTCGTGCCACAGAAGGATACAGAAGTGCAATGATGGCAAAAACAGACCTGATCTGTCTGTTTGTACCCTAATCATAGAGGCTTGTCTCTTCCCAACTTTTAATTTCTTGTGCATATTGTCAGACACTGAGCTGAGCAGGCTCTCCCCAGTTAAGACTGGAGTACTGACTCAGTTAAGAACACTTCTTAGCATTCTGCATTAACAGAATATATGCTGCGTTTTAAATATTGCCTTTCGTTGAAGTGAGATATTTGAATGGATTAGCGAGGAAGTCTAGGAACATGCTTGACCTCCAGTCGCAGCTCCCCTTGTCGGCCGAACTTGCGGGAAGTGATTTGCAACTTAAATGCGGAAGCGCATAAATAATTTAGCAGCCAAGCTCCCGGCCTGGGCTTTGTGTGTCTCCACAGGGCCAGCCTGGCACAGACTCAGAAGAGTGCACTAGAAAGGGCGCGTTTCACTTATTATGTCAGCAGGCCTCTGGAGCCCCAGACGCTGTCAGATTAGAAGTTTTAATTAAAATTAGAGAGCTGAAGAAAGATTTCAGGGGGAGGGGAGAGAACATTTACAGCCAGTGGCATCTTTGTTTTCTGTTTTTGTGTGTCGCAGGATTAGTCTAGTGGTTGGGCTTCCGCTCATTATTTTTATATTTATTTTTAATTGGGTTCTTGTAAAGACTGTTTGCATGTTGGGTTGTTATTGACTTGAGACGCAGAGTCGCAGATGCCCCCAGGGCCTCTTCAGTGCAGAAGGGTCGACAAGTTCACAGCGGGGAACAGAACGGCCGCGGCTTTGGCCAAAACATGAGTTCAGATTCCGCACACACACACCCACACACTCCTCGAACTCACATTACACCAGGTGTAAATCTCTAAACTCACAACATTTCATTTCAGTTCCAGTTCTCTCGCACAGTGTGAATTCATTTAATTTCAGCACAGCTTGATTTGATTACACTAAAATAAAAGTATTAATATTTCACAAATGTGACTGGAGGAATTATTTGTGCAGTAGTGATGATATGTAGTTGTTGAGGCTTCTGTGCAATTCTCTATTAAATACATGTTTTCTGCTTTTTTCCTGATGCTGAAAAATGAATAACAAGTACTTACGTTTGACTGGAAATTAAATAAATGAAAGGGTGGTCTCTGACTTTTGCCCTTTTTTGGGCATCATTTCATTTGAAACATTAACTACTCTTTTATGTTTACATTCAATAGAACATATTTTGAATTAAAATAAAATCTTCTTACATTGACATCCATCTTGTCGCATTAACTCCCTCTCTGTCCATGATTTCCATTTGATTGTTTTTTTGGCAAAAAAAAAAACCCTTTAAATTTCACCATCAGATTTAACTTAACAAAACTAGGTGCTGGATGAAAACTACAAATACCTTTCTCAAGGACAGGTTTAGAAATGGTTTTATTTTCATATGGCCATGCAGTTGAATTGCCACCTTCAGATGATGCATCAATGCATTTTTACACTACATTCCACAGGGAGCGATGTGCCTCTTGCACTCCATTCTGATACTGGACCTAATTCCTCTGTACCATCTCAGACCCCCTCCTGTTTCCCTCAGCTCCAGTGAGCACGAGAGAGGGCTTTATCGCTAGCCAACTGCCTGCAGGATTACTGCACAAAATCCTGTCTTTCTCTCATTAAAAAGAAAGATAAGAGGATAAGCGGCTGACGGGGGAAGGACGCGGCTCCCAGAATGACTTTTACACCTCTGACGGTCAAATCATTTGGCTCAGATAGGCCGAGTCGAGAAATCTGAATGGATTAGAGAGATTCGTTTGAGGGCATTTGGACATGGGCCATGTGCTAATGAAAACGAAAGTCAATTAGGAATACCAAACATGTCACCTGTGAGACGTGATAGAATGGTTCTTTTTGTCCCCCAGCGGCTTCTTAACCGATGGGCTTTGACACTAAATGGTGCCATTTTGAAGCAGTTGCCGCTTCTAGGACCTCCTGCACTGCTGGATAGTGGCTGTCAGTCACACATTCTCTTCTCAGAAGTCACTGCCTGTCAATCAGATTAATAATTAATTTGGCAGATATTGAAGCATGCCCTCAGGGGCGGTTCAGCAGGCCAAAACGCACCATACCTTGGTCATCAACATATAGAGCATCTTGCTTCAGTGCTCAGTGTTGACCACATGTTTTTCTGGGTATGGTTCTGTGGTGAAACAGGCAGCCAGTCTGAATTCTCACCAGTCTGAATTCTCAGTAAATTATTATTATATGTAACAGCAAATGCTGTTCTGTAAAGAATGTGTAAATATTGTATGTCACTTCCTTCTATAGTAAATCTATACCGTAGTTTTTCTCTCAAAGCCAAGTTCTTTCTGTTGCATCTCTACAATATACAGGAAAACAGAAGACCATATTGTATCTAACAACTATACAAGGCCATCACTCTTAAAATGACCTCTAAAAATGACCAACGGTCTAGTGCTTCCCTGCTTTCCCCTCTATTCAATACCCTGTTTTTCTTAGCCCCATCTACCTTCTTTGTCCTCTTTTTTCAGCTTTCCCATTGGACTCACATTTTCAAATAATGTGTGCCAAACCCTTACAAACACTATAACTTGAACAACAGCAGCTCTTTTTGGAGGCTCTGCTAAGCTGATGGAATTCCTTGAAAAGAGCTGGTTATCAGGTTATTGCAGGATTTACACCCTTTGTTGATGCTGAAGTCCAATCCCGTAGGCCCGTGAGAATGGTAATTGTCGATTGCTGTGTGCTCGGTGACTTTTGCAGGCTTTGCACTTGCAGTGTTTGCATTTCCAGTAAAGGCAGTAGCAGAGAAAACATTCAAATTTGACCTTCACTGATCTTCCTTGACTGATAATCAAAGAAAGAACCCTGCTGTGCACCTTAGCAATTCATCTTCAAGTGATTGACCTGGTCCATCCCACTCATACTCCCCAACAATTCATTCCATCACCCACACTTAGAGAATAGGGAGCTGGTATGTCCTGCCCTTTCATGACCCAGTTCTGATGAGTGAGACTGTTGTATGTGTGGGGTAGGATATAGCACACTTGAACATACTGATCACTGTAACTAATTTATGGACTCATCTTTTTCTGCAGTTCCCTCGGAGCCTCATTTGTTGTCATGTCCTTCACCTGCCCTCCCTAAATCCCTTATCTCCCAGTCTCTCCTCCCCTGCCTTTTTTAGTTCCTCTTTTGTTCTCCCGCTCCCTGCCTCTGCTCTTCCCACACATCAGCTCCAATCCCACCTACTACCGTCTGCTGCACTACTATTAATTACTCCATCTGCTCCATCGCCCTCTTTCCCTCACACCCACTGTACCATTCTTGTCCCATTTATTTTTCTTCTCCTGTCTCTCTTCCCTTGCTGTCTTCCCCCATTTATATAATCATGCCATTCTTGTTCTCATCTGTCTTCTCTCCCTCTCTCTGCAGTATGCCTCAGCGGGTTGCCTGTTGTCGCTGCACCACAGTGAAAAGCCGGAGCACGAGGAGGTGTGCGAGTTCCGCCCTTACACCTGCCCCTGCCCAGGAGCCTCTTGCAAATGGCAGGGCTCTCTGGAGGCGGTCATGCCTCACCTCATGCATGCCCACAAATCCATCACCACGCTGCAGGGAGAGGACATCGTCTTCCTGGCCACAGACATCAACCTGCCAGGGGCCGTGGACTGGGTCATGATGCAGTCTTGCTTCGGGCATCACTTCATGCTGGTGCTGGAGAAGCAGGAGAAGTACGAGGGCCACCAGCAGTTCTTCGCTATTGTTCTGCTCATAGGCACCCGAAAGCAAGCCGAAAACTTTGCCTACCGCCTCGAGCTGAATGGCAACCGTCGACGGCTCACGTGGGAAGCCACGCCGCGGTCCATACACGATGGTGTGGCCGCAGCAATCATGAACAGTGACTGTCTCGTCTTTGACACCTCCATTGCCCACCTTTTCGCTGACAACGGCAACCTGGGCATCAACGTTACCATCTCCATGTGCTGAGGTGGCAGTCCAAGCCCAAGAGAGCGGCAGTTTTCTTTGGGGTTGAAGCCCTGGATGACTGCAGTTCCTCACCAGAGTGGAGGGTCTAAGAATGACAGGTGGGAGATGTATACATTTGTGTATATATGTCTGTTCAAGACTTATTCCCTCCAATAAGGCACACTGAGACTGACCTCTAGGTTAGTGTCCTGAATGGATGAGAGGGTCTATCTTGAGACTGGACAATATGGCATATTGTTGGCATGTGGCAACTAGCACAAGCACAGCTGAAATTTTCTCTTGCATTGACCTAGAAGCCACCTCAATGCGCTCTGCTCTCTGGCCTAGTCCAGCCTGAGTATGGAAGATAGCTCTGTCTAGACTGGAATGCTCTCTGCCACGGCCAAACCAACATACAATAAGGTCTAGCCGATGGAACCTCCAAAGCATTGTGGATCAACTGATCAGTCAGGCCTCAAAGACGCACAGTTTGGGTGGAGTCAGGGCCTGAAGCAGTCACAGTCAAAGCTGCCTCACACAGCATACGTGTGAAATGAAATTGCACTGGCTTCAAAGGAATCATGACTATGTAAATGCTAATATGCTGATGTTCATGTCTGAGATGTACTTTTATGATGCAGTGCCCAGAAATGAATTGGTGTACATGGTGGAAATAAAACTCACTTGCAGGTTGATTGCATGACTGGCCACCATGTCTGTCAGGCAAATACATGACTTCGTCTCCATCATGTTTTTCCTCCCTGTTCATCTGTCTTAGACAACTTGTCCTTTCTGTCCTATAATCTTCAAAACAAATGGAAACCCTAGGTGGTATGAACGAAGTCCTTTGAGAAAGATATTAAGTTCTTGATTATCACTGAGCAGACCCTTCCTAAGATGCGGAAGTCAGGGTTTTGGTCATTAATGAAATGAAAGAACTACATCCAGATTGTGTCAGCCATAATCTATTCCCACATCACTCAAAGAAATATCCTCAAATACTGTATGTTTGAATTTGATACTTGAATGTTCTTGGGACTATGCTGCCCTACAAAGGCAAGTAACTATGCCAACCATGAAAAGGAGGAAAACAGCTTGAAGGTTCTGTTGTTGTCTAGCCAAATATGTTGCTGCAGTTTCCCTCAGACACCTATTTTTGGTCAGTATCTCAATTTTAACCAAAACTACAGTTCCCATGTTTGCCTTTGTGCGGTAGTATAGTCCTCAAGCACCACTCTGGGCTTTTGTGATTATAAGGCAGTAGTCCAGTCACTCATGACTGCATGTAAACAACATGAACCTGCATGGTATGATGAATGATTGTTAGCTAACTGCTCTTGGATGCAGTCGCTGCATTGGACTGGTTCAGGGTTTCAGGATTACCTGTGTATGTTTCTTACTTAATCCCTCTTTTTCTATTTGAGGTAATCAAAGAGAACTGATGACACGCTTTGTAAATATTCACACAGATCTAGTTTTGTTGCTATTTGCTGTGTTCTTGTTGTGTCTCTTTTAGCGGGTTATTTAGTCTAGCTTGTTTTGTGCTCCAGCTCTTTTAAACCGCATTTCTGTGTTATTTGGGAGATCCCCGCCCCCCCCGCAACTCCCTGGTTCAGTCAACCTACAGCGCCTTACTTGTATACAAACCCAACCTTTCAGAGCCCAACAGGGCTCCTACTGAAGATCAGGTCACCGCGATCCAAACCGCTAGTGTCTTGAAAAGACTCTGAATTATAAGAGACTTGTTCATAAATAGTGGCATTATGGGGACGCATGATCATGAGACATCTTTCATAAGCCCCCGGGAGCTCCACAACAGTAGCGGCATCATTCACATAATACAACCTAGAAATCCTAACTCTCTACTCGAATACCTCTGATGACATCAGACATGTCTGTAAGTGGACTGTGCAGATTTTTCTGGACCCTGGTGGTCTTCAATTTAACATAAGCCAGAATTCCCTCAGCTCAAAGTTACTCTGTTCTGGTCATACTTCTAATTAATTTAAATATGTAATTGTTAATCCCTAATGTTTTATCTGTAATCCAGGAAAATGTATCAGCTTGTGTTTATTTTTTTGTCTTTGTGTTGATGGATTTTATACTTTTTGTGTAGAACTTGAAGGAAATGTGGGTTATTTGGTGAGATCATACACGCTCTAGTTAGCGTCTGCTTCACAAAAAAAAAATGTGGCTTTAATCATCTGGTTGTCATGGCAACTAAATATGCTAATTAGTACTTGGGATAATAGAGCATGGAAGTGATGTTTTGGATGCCAGTGCTGCATTCAGGAAACCCCCACAGTGACACTAAATTACATGAAATGACTGCTGGTTATGAAGTCTCTATCTTTTTAAATCACACCTCTTTCCATTCGTTCACATTTATAAAGGGTGCCAAAAAGTGCATTAACTATGAGGCTATGTGTTTCAGCAAAGATAAAGCATAAGTAACTATGAAACAGAGAGGCATGTACACACATACCGTGACAGTTTATCATTACCTTGATAAAAGTTCGGGGTGGGAAAAGTAATTGATTCTTAGATTCTCTCGAAAGATTCTGAATCAATTAAGACAAAGTCTAAGTCAGCTGTTTCCCTATTGTAAAACTTGGTGCCCCCAGAGACTTTCTAAAGTAGAATACGTTTGCACAGCCTGGCTCGGAAGAGGAGGGAAATGCACTCTTAAACTGTTTTTTTATGTATATGAAGTAAAAGGCCTGAATCCATACTATACATGACTGTGTGCAAGAATGTGGCATTGTTTAACAACCACTTTTGCAAATTGCTAATAGGCTAATCCAGTAATATTCATAGTTAAGATTTACGATTAAGAATTTACCTGAATGTTAGAAGTTTCAAATGTCTAAAATTAGGCTAGAACTCCTAGTGTAAAAAAAAAACAATCTTGGTATGGCTATAGCAGCATTAGCTTGGTATTAACGTAACATTGAAAACCTCATAAAAGTGCTAAGAATGTTAGCAACAGTGTAGCAGTACTTTTGGATAAAAAGCCGTCTTATAAAGTTGCTGCAGTAAACACAGCTATATATGCATGTTTACAGTTATATGATGAAGAAAATAAAAGAAAAAAATATCAAATGACTGGATTGTCCCATGATTTACTTTATATTTGGACATCTGTTTTAGTGTGTTACCTTAGTGTGTTGCGCTGGGGTGGCGTTTTTATAGCAGCACCCAAAGTTTCTGATACAATATAAACCTGTGAACAAAAACATCAAATATAGGGTTTTTATTTTTTTGGATTTTAGTTTAAACATGTTAATTTGTGAATCAGGCCTTCACACTTCTACATTTAAGCTACTTGTGATACATGAGGAAAAAAATCATAATGCAGGCTGTAGAAATTAAAAAATGAGAATCCAAAAATGGTTTTAAAATCGCATCTTGGCACCCTGAATCAAAAACAGATCCGAATTGTAAGGGTGCCTAAAGATTCCCACCGCTTTATAAATCTGTCATTGAGTCAGACATCAATCAGAGCACCCACAGGTTAACAGGATGCTCCTTCTCTGTTGGCCTGGCTTAATAGAACAGAACACAGACAGCTCACTTCCAGGCAAAGGTGCCAGGTGAAGACCCAGCAAAATGATGTAACGGCTTGGAAGTTTCCCTTTTGTTGTATGTGACCACCCACAACGAATACAAAATCTGGAAATTCACTTCCATGCTCTATTTATCTCTTGAATAAGAACAGCGACAGTGGTTGACACACATTAGATGTATTAGACTGAACGAGCTGGTTGATCCTCATCGATTGTCAAAGGTTAACAAGGCAATTTAACACCAGCTGGCAAATCTTCTGAAAGACGGTATCATGTAGGCTGTAGTATGTTCAGCAGGAACACTGCCATTAGTCAGTTTGAAGTCAGTACAAAGACTACAAGTCTGTCTGACTAGAGGCACACTGAGTGGGAGGAACACCTCCATGCTAACCACGAGCCTGTGAGCGCGCGCCAAGCACTTATTTTCTATAGAGGAAACAACGTCCCCCACTTACCGGGGGAAGCTGTATGTTTGTGCAATAGAGAATAAAACAAGTGATGCAGAATCAACAATAGAAAAACAAGTAATTTGTGGTTGATCACATTGATTAAACAAAATGTGGGTAAATAAGTCAGTTTAATTTGCTTTAATTTTCCAGGCAGTTTGGGCCAACAGCAGGGTTTTATTAATATTATTATTATTTTCATAAATACATATTTTTTCTGGTCTGGGGTTTGCTTTTCTGGAATCCCTGCACATACCTTGTCACAACACTGCCAGCCATCTGTTTCTAACCCCCTACATTCCAGACACCCCTTAATAGAACTGGACAAGGCACTGAATAAATACATTTTGATGACGGGAGCAGGTGGTCTGCTGGGGAGAACGCCACGGTTTGCAATCAAGGCATCAATATTCACCGGCTAGATTGCCAGTAATAAGCTAGTGGAATTGAAAAACTTTAATTGTAGCCATGGACTGCAAATATGCCTGATTTACATGGCTCAGCAAGTGGCGAACCCCAAACGGGTAGCAAAATACATTTGTTTGATGCGTTTCCATGCCGATTCCAAAATAACTTCTGTGTCTGGAAATGGTTGCCTTTTCAGGTGATTTTCAAAGGTATAATGTTGGGTGACCTTATTATTACTGCTCTGCCTCGTATCAAAAAGCCTGCCCTTGGGGCCTAACAATGGGAAGTAACTTCCACAGTCATCTCTACCACCCTTTCATCTTTCATTTAATGTATAGTTGTTGTATGTACTGTCAAATCTACAAAGTAAAACCATTTTCACTGTTATTCAAAGCCCCAAGAACTATAATAGTTGTAAATGTGATAAATAGGGACCTACATGGAGAAGGTCTGTCTCACCAAATTCTGATGCTTCTTTCCATGATTAGATCATGGTGGCATGTATCTTTACTCATTCGTCTGGAAATTGAAAAGAAAGCTGTTTTATAGAATTACACCAGTCTGCTACTTCCAAAGATTTGATATTGTGACTGCTCTTAGTTTTCAGTAACACATAGGGCCAGTTTCCCTCAGATGAAAGAAGAATATCCAGTGGTGATTCATCATTGGCACTACAATTTAATCTAAGATTGGTTTAATCCATTTCTGGGAAACCAGCCCAAAGTGTTAAATAATCACATTAGAGATTTCTGAAAATGCCTACTCCATCTCTAGCTTTCTGTCTAATCAAGTTTATATTCATTGGGTTCAACAGCTAGTAACTGTCAGAAAAGCTTAGCAGCTTTAAATACTCTGTGGAAGTTCTGTAAGTACTAAGACAGAACACTTTGCATGATGAACCCACTCACACTCTTCACCTGTGGAGAGCTAATATCAGATCACCCTTGCCCTTCCCTGATTCCTAAATAGAAAGGACAGTGGCATGTCCTTTCGTAATTTAGGAGCTAGACTAGATGACGTTAACCAGGTAAACATTAGCTCTCCAAATGCCAACTATCAGCGTTTAGTGCTCCTTCTTTTTCCTTCATGTTCTGCAATTTGGACTGTCACTGGTTAGGCGCCGCGTTCTTAGCCAATGGCAGCTCAACGCTCCTTCCTTTCCTCGGTTGGTAAATGTTAATTTATTCAGTGTATCTGTGTAGTTTTGCTTCCTAAATGGTTAACTATGTTAATGTGGCGATAGAGATTATTTGATTGTAATATTAGCGATGGAGAATGCTATTGAATTCCTGTTGAACGGGTACAAGATGGTAATGTGCACATCATCTGTTTGGTCTTGTGTATTTTCTTTTTTTTTAAAAAAATACCATCAGTTTAATGTCATTTAATTATTTGACAAAGTTAAAGTTATATATGATTTTTTTTTCTAACAGCACCACTTATGTTTTTGAGACAATTCTGTTGTACTATCCATGAATCTATTTTGTTCTTTGTATCACTTTAAAAGTCAAATAAAATATTTATGTCAAACGACTCCAGCATGTGCTACTAATTTGAAACGTTTATTTACAAGATCTACCACAAACAAAAAAATAACATCTGTCTCACACAGAGATAAGTAATCTCACACTGAACGTCTGGCGGGTGGATTGTGTGGAAGTTGAAGTTGCAGTCCAGGTTTCAGCTTCGCCTGTATTCTCTGTCTCGACTCTGGTCTCTGTGTTTTGTCGACCCTCGGTCAGCATCTCTGTCTCTTTCCCGATCCCTCCCTTTCTCTCTTTCTCTATCTCGGTCTCTCCCTCTCTCTCTGTCCCTCTCTCGTTCTCTTTCAGTCTCCCTACCTCCGTTTCTCTCTCTTTGCCTGTCCCTATCCCTCTCTCTTTCTCTTTCACTCTCTCTTCCCCACTCCCTCTCTCTTTCTCTTTCACTCTCTCTTCCCCACTCCCTCTCTCTTTCATTCTCCCTACCCCTATCTCTCTCCCTGACCCGCTCCCTTTCTCTTTCATTCTCCCTACCCCTTTCTCTTTCCTTATCACCTTCTCTGCCCCTGTTTCTCTCTCTGTCTCTCTCCCTCTCTCTATTTTCTCGTGAATGTTGGTCTTCTTTGTATCTCCCCTCCTCTCTGCTCTTGTCTGTTTTCCTTTCATCATCTCGGTCTCTCTCTCTCCCTCCTCTCCTGTCGTTACCATGCTCATCTCTGGCTCTGTCCATTTCCTCCAGTCTGTCTCGTGCACTCCTCGTCTCTTGTCCTGCTTGCTCCCCTCTGGACTCCGGCGCCCCCTTCAGGGCGTACTTCTCATAGCCCTCATCCTCTCTCTCTTTCTTTACTCTCATGGGGAGAGTCGAGGGAGACTTGTCCTGTGCCTCACGCCTCTCCTCCTTCGATGCCTTCTTCTTCTCTTTTTTCTCCTTCTTCTTTTTCTTCTTTTCTTTTTTATCTGATATAGAGAGAGAGCGCTTACTGTTAAAGACAAACCATCAGCTAGTCACTGCAAATGGTGAGATTCTGTGGAATATACTGCTTATGAATGTACAAGTATAGTTTACCCTTTTTTGGTTTCTTCATAGGGAGAACATACTCTTCCTCAGACTCTGACTCAGATGATGATGCAGAGGGCATTTTGGGGGCGCAGCCTTCCTCACGCAACTGTTTGGTGACTTCATCAATGTCTTCTGAATCTTTGGGGGGACGGTAATTTGCCACATGATCCACTCGTATGGTCCGACCCTTAATCTGTAGAAGCACCGAACATAAACTTTGAACAAAAGAGAATCTAAGTTCTTGTGTCAGCAATAGGTGCACCTTAAAGTAGCTGAATTCACTAATTAGAAGTGGCATCTAGATATCTTTGAGACATATAATGTATCTGTCCTATCACTTTCTGACTATACAGGTCAATATTTACAAATTGCCATAAAGCAGTAACGACAGTCCTGTTTTAGTAGAAAAATATCCATTATACAATTTTTGTGGGTGTTCTACATGCTTCCTGTTGTTCCTGTTGTTGAAACGTAGCTAAAATGCGGTATCATACCTTTATTACTACTGGTTTACAGAGCAGTGAAGATTTTTACCTTGATGCCATTAAAGTTATCCACTGCCAGGATGGTGCTCCTCTGATCCTCATAGCAAAGGAAGCAGAAACCTTTTGATTTTCCTGTCTTCTTATCTCGCACCAAGTTCACGTTGACAACCTCTCCATACCTAACGGAAAGGAATAAATTATTTAATTACCAAAAAATGAGTACTGAATAAGTTTATTTGCTTGGAGATGAGAGACAGAGAGTGCAAAAGAAAGAGCAAACTGGACCTACTGAGAGAAAACACAGATGATGTCTCCCTCTGTCAGCTCATATGGAAGTCCACCTGCAGGTTGTACAATAAAGTCAGGAAATCTTGTTTCTATCAGTCAAAAACACTTAAATTACATTTTAGGGGTTGTGTTAATAGGCAAAAGTGTTGAAGGGCTAGAAAATGTAGTCAGAAAGCAGTGACAAAATTGTAGGCCTAGGTTTTTTACTATCAGACAAAAAAAAGGTAACAAATCTTTAACACAGCTTTCCTTAACCACATTTTCCAAGGATTTTCTGAGGTCATTTCACTGTTGATAGGAACAAACACACAGAGGAACCATGCAAATGTCGCCATCATCTGACGGAACACAAACTGTCTGCCAGCAGATCCATATTCAAGATATGACGTACGCTATTTATCCAAAAGTTTGCAGACACCTGCTCATCCAGCGTTTCTTCTGAAATCAGGGTATTAATAAGGAGTTTGCAGTAACAGCCTCTATTCGTCTGGGAAGGCTTTACATGTTAGAACCCTGCTGTGAGGACTTGCACTGCATTGATGGATTGTATTCATTCACAGTGTCCCATTCTATTGCCAGTGCTTTTCTATGGAGATGATACAGTGGGTGTGTTACAGTAGAATAAAACACTATTATGCCGGACAGGCTGCACTCCAGGGCCAGGACTGGGAACCTGGACACTAGTTAGAAGGCATGTCTAGATACTTTTGGACATATAGCGTACTTCACTAAGCGACTGCCTGAGCAGGAGCTCATAAAATCTAAGTTACTCAGCTGTACTGTTGTGCACTATAATGCAATATATTTTTAAATGTCTATCGTTCCCCTCACCAACGAAAACCCAGGCACTGTCTTTGTACTCAGAATGCCACGAGACCGAGTCTTTAATTCCAAGATCAGCCTCTCTTTCGTTCAGTTCATTGATGAGCTTCACTTTGGTGAGTGGACTGTCGAAAGAAAACACAAACAGTGAGGGTGATTTTCACACAACAGCTCAAACCTGTCGTTTAACTTTGAACATTTGATTTCCATTTTTACTGTCACTTCCAACAGGAAATCTGTTGCTAATCACCATAATACACTCTTTAAAAATGGTTCTTCAAGGGTTCTTTAGTAAAGGGAATGCTTCTATTTAGAACCAATTCCTGCTTGTTATTCTTTCCATGATGAAATGGTTCTTCAGATAGAATGAGTTATATATGGTTCTATATAGCACTGAAAAGGGTTCTTCTGTTGTTATGATGTTAAGTTTCCTAAAACAATATGGTTCTTCAAGAGTTCTTTAGTAAAGAAAATGGTTCTATAAAAAACTCAAAGAACACTTCACATGATTAAAGGGTTCTTTGCATCCTGAAACAGTTCTTAAGAATGTGCTGTAGATGGTTCTATATAGAACCTTTTTGAAAAGAGTTTTACATGGCACCCAAAAGGGTTCTCCTTACGAGGTCAACTTAGGTAGAAAAACCCTTTTTGGTGATATATAGAACCTTATACAGCACATTCTCCATCAATCTGAAGAACTATTTCTCGATGCAAAGAGCCATTTAAGTATGAAATGGTTCTGACCAGAACCCGTTTAACCATATTTTAAGAGAGTAGCCAGATAGCAAATTCAATTTAGATCACGTTGAGGACAAAACACCGGCTCTGACTGGCCTTCCTGCGAATCAGCAAGACCAAAGCAGCAGAGCGACCAGGACGCTGGTGGAGATGATAAAGTAACCCGAGTTACATCGACACTGAGGATTCAGCCCATCTTTACTATCCTGACTGACTATATTCTGTCTGTGGCTGAGCAGGAGGTGTCAGTCCCAGTCCGAGCAACCGTCATTCTCTGTTCTCTCCTCAGTTCCTGAACCCTGTCCAGATAAGCCTTAACAATAACTTAAACTCAAACTAACGCCTGAGGAGCTCAGAGCTCATCTCGGTGGCTAAGCTAGCTAGCTAATAAACATTAGCCTGGTCAGCCAAGTCAGCGTCTGGAGGGAGAAGTGCTGAGAACGGTAGCTGTTCTCCTCCGAAACGTCCATCCACGGTAGGCCAAATACATGGAGATGTAACTTCTGTTTAATATTAAAGCCCGTTAAATGAACGGCCACTTACTTCATTGTAGGTTTGTTTTGCACCACACATGGAAGCGGATCCGCCTGAACCGTTCAAAATGTCGACGATTCGCTGTTTTCTTCCGCGTGACAAACTCGAGGATTGTGGGTGTTGAAGTTCAGTGTAGCGGCCATGTTTTCACCAGAGAGGATATACGTCAGTCATAACATTAAAACCTCAATGTTTGTACATTTATCTTCAATTTTGTCAGCTCCGCTCATTATACAGGTGCACTCTGTAGTTGTACAATCACAGACTGTAGTCCATCTGTTTCTCTGCGTACTTTGTTAGCCCCCTTTTACCCTGTTCTTCAGTGGTCAGGACCCCCACAGGACTACCACAGAGCAGGTATTACTTGGGTGGTGGATCATTCTCAGCACTGCAGTGACACTGATGTGTTGATGGTGTGTTAGTGTGTGTTGTGCTGGTACGTGTAGATCAGACACAGCAGTGCTGCTGGAGTTTGTGTCCACTCACTGTCCACTCTTATTACACACGCCTTCAATGTCCTGACCATTAAAGAACAGGGTAAAAGGGGGCTAACAGAGTATGCAGAGAAACAGATGGACTACAGTCTGTAATTGTAGAACAACAAAGTGCTCCTGTATGATAAGAGGAGCTGATAAAGTGGACAATAAGCGTAGAAACAAAGATGGTTTTAATGTTATGGCTGATTCACATTCTTTGTTTACACTGACTGTTATAGTTTAAAAGGGAAATTCCACCGATTTTTCAAATTTTCTGCATAACTCTATTGTCATAATGTAAACAAAGTCATTTAAATGTACCCTTCTAGAAAAACGTACCGAGTCAGAATTGTGTACAGTGGGGGTGGAGTAGGAACCAGATGTTTGGAGTATTTAATGCCCCTAAAGGCTACATCACCAAAAACTATTACCAAAATAGTTACAAATACATAGCCTAATGCCTGCAACCTTGTTTTATACAAGTCGTGATATAAGATCTTGGCCTAAAATGTATAATCTTTAAAATCCATTTATGGTGGAGAAGTACAGTCATGGTGCTGTGGGGCGAAAATAGTGCCAAGAGAAAACCTTTTTTTCCAGATTTACTACTGTTTTAACATAATAAACATTTCATATAAAAACTCAAGACAAGTGTAAGTTTTGTCATTTTACAATAAAAATAGCTATGTTTGTGTTTAAGACATTGCACCCCTAGTTCCTATCATCACCACTGTAAAAAGTCTGAGTCAGTAAGTCTCTACAATAAACCATTTCACATCAAAACACAATGAATTACATCTCTACAACTGACCTATGCCAATTTTTTAAACATTGGTGCATATTTTGGGTCTTTTACATAATGGTAGCTTAATGTCACTTTTGGGATAGCTGTAAATGTAAACACTGTCTTAACTTGTTTTCATTTTGAGAGGAGATATGACATACTAATGAAATATTACAAATACTAATTTATAATTGTATAATTACCATGAGATTGAAGTTATGCTGTGGTATTGCAGGATTTCATATTTGAAAAATGCAAATGATAAGAGTATTGGAATTAAAATCTTAAAGACAGTCCTGTTGTCTCAGTTGCACATGTTTTCAACAGGACATTAAAATTAATCATTTATTATTATTATTATTATTATTATTTTAAGTGTTAAATCAGAACCCTCACTACTGCAACATGCCCAGCTCTGTATTATGTTATAACATACATTAATACCATTTAAATGAAAAACAATCGTAAAAAAAGTTAAACGCATGTTCTGCTCTACATTTTTCATATGAAGATGAAAAAAGATTAATTGAATGTTCATGTCATGCCCTCTGGGAAGACTCCACTTGAACTCGCACTTGCTACTACCATATAAGGCCAACTTAGTTATGAGACCTTATTTTACTTTGTTAGTTCATGTGCCTGGTCATATTTAGCAAAATTCATCATATCATGACGCTTACAAGACAAAATTATTGTTGTTGGTGTTTGTCTGCCTCTAAAACGTTTGCTGATACATGACAATGTGCACCAGCGGGTGGGGAAAAATATTAACCAATAATGTTATGTTTATTTTTGTAATTATGTTTCACCTCGCCCACCCCCACCTATCATCACACTAAAACGCTCAGCTAGCTCAAAGACCCTCCCTGATACCATGTTGTATTCAGAAATCTGCTACATCAGGAAAACACGGTATGATTTCTAAATAATTGCAGACAGACTGCTAGTGAAAAAAGGCCGCAGTAAAAGCTATGATGGTGAAGTTTAGGATAAAATTTACAGCAACTCAGAACTGCTGGAGGAATACAGAAGAAGCTGTTAGGGGTCAGAGAGGTTACAACGGGAACAATCACAAAGCTGTTCTAAATAATGTTTCAAATTTACTGAAGTTATCATTTTAACTCTCTCTCTGCTTTCAATGCTATTCCATAGACATAAGAAGTGTATTTTAGCTTTAAAGGTGCAGTGTGTAAGATTTACTGGCATCAAGTGGTGAGGTTGCAGATTGCAACAAACTAAATACCCCTCTCTCCCCCCTCCCTTTCCAAGCGTGTAGTAGAACCTACGGTGGCCATCAGGTTTTCTGCCGTCGCCTGTCTCGATTTTGTTTTGTTTTTTCATGTTTTTGCTTCTTTGATGATGAGGACTCACGCTCCTTTGCTTTTTCTTGGGCTAAATAATAAGTTTGATCCTCCATTTGTCAACATTTGGGTTCTCAAACTGAACCAGCAGCAACCACAGATTCTTCTTCTTTCTACGTCTTCCTACCGGTGCTATAGCGCCACCAAATTCAAGCTGCCACTTCAATGTAAAAATATGAAAGGCGCTCTCTAGAGCCAGTGTTGGGTTTGTCCATTCTAGTCTACTATAGAAAATGGCAGTGCCTCTGTTGGAAGAGGACCAGCTGCCTATGTGAGGGGCTTATTCTAAGCTACCGAAAGCACAGCGATTCATAGTTACAGGTGATTATATGCTAATGAAAGCACAGTTTTGTATACTATATTACATTTCTGCTAATAGATTCTTCTAAATCTCACACACTGCACCTTTAAAGGCTGTTGACCTTTAAAACAGTGGACCAAGCAAATGAGTGAATCAGGAGGGCTCATTAGTCAATATTCTTTTTGTTTTTATCCTAATTACCACTGACCTGTGGAAGCAATGCTTTAAGGGCTAGAAGGTGAAGTAAATGGCCTCATCAATTAAGTTATAAAATATTAATGGGATTTTCAGTGTCACGACACAGGTATGATTTCCAAAACACATACAAACATCATAATTATGAAGAAACTGATGAAATATGATCAAATGTCCACTGTTAATTCTGACTCTTCAAGCTCAGATTCCTCAACAGGCACAAATGTTTTTGAAAATACAGTAGTGTTTGTTTAAATCAAAATTAGTATATACAAACAAAATATGGAAACATGTAAATGTGAATGTATTTATTTTAACCCTTTAAATGGCCAGGGCCCACCAGCACGCTCAAAGTTTTATTACACGCTTCTATAACCGACGAATAGCTTCACCAGTTTGCATTGAAGTCCCTGTAGTAACTAAATACTAAGCCTTAGTTTGTAATAAGCCTGAGATTTTAAGGAGTTAATAGTAATGTCCATAAAAAAATAAAATAAAACAAGCCTGATCCAAATGAAATCAGTAAATGACCCAATTAGAAGCCTTAAAGACAAGTGAATCTCAGAATGCCAAGTCTCATATGAAATTCTGCTTTTAATTTAAGCAAGAATTACTAATAGAAGTACTGATCTTGGATGTAGTTGTTCTCTTCCTGTAAACAACTATTTATCAAATAATTTTATTGTAACCTTGACTAAGATGTGAGATCTGTTAGATAGACAGCTCAAGAACATCAGCACAGTGAAATCACTTTTATTCTCTATAACTAAACATAAAACATGATTCCTCGACATAAAATGAAAAACTTAAAAACAGTACCTAAACAAAATTGTAGCACAAGAAAATAACAAAATTAACTGATTTTTGTACTGCAACAAAATTCACTAAATGCTGGGCAGTAATAGGTCAATTAAAACAGATGGCTTTTATTTCAAAAATTGCTTGATAGCGCAAACAGTTGGAATTGAGACATCAGACCGTAAGTGCTTATTGTCTTTGACTTCAGTTGTTAAGTAGAAGAAACTGAGTAAAAAGTAAACAAAGCCATCTGTTCCATTACACGCACACAGTGCTAGACTCTCAAGACTCCATATCCATTACGTGAGGCAGTTGTTTTCCATTCTGTTGTTGAAATCAAAGCACTTAACGGTTTCCTGTGACCACTGAACTGAAAGAACGTTGTTGTTTGTTACACGGTTTTCACAGAATGTTCACGCAGAGGAAGGCACTGTGGCAGGATCCCTAAAGATAAACTGGCAAGGCTGTTCCTGGTCAACAGAGTGTCTGGAATGAGTGGCCATCGTGTGGTCTATAGGAAATCCTTCAGTTGCATCAGGCACTTTAACACAACATTGACTGGCCTTAATGCAAGTGAACATGTCACTGAGTTGCTGTCGCACTTCCCTCTGCCAGAAGGCATAGACCAGAGGGTTGATTAGGGAGTTGGTGAGTCCCAGCAACCAGAGGTGGTTTTCTAGAAATCCGTAAAGTTCGCATGGTGGGCACAGCACCTGCACTACGCTGACTACAAAGAAAGGGCACCAGCAGAGTGTGAAGCAGCCCACCAGTACAGCAACAGTCTTCAGAGCCTTGACATGCCCCCAGTAGCGGTTAGGCATTACGCAGCGGGAGCCAGCTTGCATGGCCTGTCGAATGCGCCGCTGATGGCCACATGCGATTTTCAGGATGTCCAGATAGAAGTAGATGAAGACCAAGAGCACAGGGAAGAAGGTGACACAGAAGACTACGATGATACTCTGGGGCTCGATGACTGAGAAGAAGGTGCATATGCTTTTGTTGCTACTGTGCTGCATCTCCACCACCATGTTGGGCATGAACCCCACAGCTGTGGACAGCAGCCACAGGGATACCAAAGCTCCCGCTATCGTCTTTCTGCCCATGAGTTGTGCGTAGCGCAGGGGTAGCTTGATGGCCATGTAACGGTCCAGTGAGATGAAGAACATGGTGAGGATGGAGGCGGCAGAGGGCGCAATAACAAAAGCCATGCGCAGCAAGCACACTTCCTTATGCACGGAGGATACTCGTCCCTTCAAAGCATCTGTGGCAATGCCAGTAATGGCCAAACCCACGAGGATGTCGGCAATGGCCAGGTTTAGGACGAAAGCACCAGCTCTGGCTGCCCTTCTTTTGGATGAGCAGGACCAAGGCGATAGCTACCAGGAGGTTGGTGGAGATGATCAAAGCAGACCCCACACTGAGGATCCAGCCCATGACTATTCCATCTATGCCCACTTGAGCAGAAGTTGTGAACATCGGCATGGCTGAAGTCACGTCCTCTGAGTAGCTCCCCCTCACCTCCGAAGAGGATACGGTCCCATTCCGAGCGACCATCATTCCCTTTTCTGTCCTTGGCTCCTGGAGTTCCCACAGAAAACTCCAAATGATATTCACATCATTCAAACAGCGAAATAAAAGTGTCAGATATCAGAAGCGGGAATGCTCTGTTGGAGACAGACCTCTCTTTCCTGCTGCGGGGCCAAAGTATGTCCTTCACTACTGCTGTGGTTTTGCTGACCCTTGTCCAGTCTGGCTGTCATCCAAGTCCCATCAGTGGATCTGTAGTGCATACTTCCTGCTTGAAGATACCATTTTCCATCAACATTCTGTTTGGAATTGGAAGCAAAGCCCAAAAGTACAATTTGCGCACATGGAAAATGTTGATCAGCTGTTGATGGTCAACATGTTGTCATCCGTGAACCTTTAGAACTTCAGAACTTCTGGATGTAAAGACACTGGACAGTGTTCCTTGATTGAAACAGTAATACAAAACAGATGAATCCTTATAATCCTTACTCCTGGGAAATGTACCCATCCAGTTGCGTGAATCTGTCAGTGTAACAGTGTGATTTCACCAAAGCAAGGGATGGACAGGTCAGTAAAAAACGAACTCCTCCTTTACATCCTCCAACTTGACTCCACTCTGCTTCTCTCATGTGTTCTTCAATTCAAATCAGAAAAAAACTCCTGTTCTCCTGTACATTTGGTTGTCTGTACCGTATTCATGGATCTGTGGTCATAGTGTCCAGTTCTCAGCCTTTCAGCCTTTTGTCACTCCCTGTTTTGATATGGTTCCTGCTCTGATTTCTCTAAAACTCTAAACAAACTGTGGGAATGAATGGTGATGGTGATGGGAAAGGGGTAGTGTAGCTGTAGAACTGGAGGGGAGTTCCAGTTTCTTGTCTATGTGTTTGTTTTATAATGCACTTTAACAGAATAACATTTTCATATGTAATAGCATATGAATGAAAAGCCATTTTCCAAGTGTCGTCCAAAAAATCTAAAGAGGGAAATCTGTAAAAGACTGATTCAAAAGGTGTGTTCTTTGCATTTGCATACAAATGATTTGTAACATAAACAGTTTATGAATGAAAGAGGGAATTATAAGGGAAATCTGTAATGGACAGATTTCATTGCTGGCATGTTTATCAGTTTTTAGTGGATGTTACTAAAGAGATTTGTGGTTTAAGTGAGCTTCATTAAATTTCCACAATTGTAATTTGAGATTTAGAGCTTAACTTTAAGTATCTTCCATATAGTAACTTTACAGGAGAAAGCAAAAACTTAACTTTAATATGCATTAAAGAGATTTAATTTGAAGGAATTTTGGAGCATTTCTATTAATCCTTTCATCATGAAATTGCTACACAACATAAAGGGCAGCTGCTCGGCTCAAATGGTGCAAAAAAACAGACATAAAAAAATGGAAGTATGTGTATTTTGGACAGCAACCCATTTTTTTTAAAGCTCTTAGCGTTTGTGTACAAATGATTTATGTGGTGCAATAACATGTGTACTGTCACTATTAAAATGTTTGGATGTCAGTTTGGAGATGTACACATTTTTCTTTACAAATGAATTTTCACGTGTAATCATTAGAAGATCAGATTATGCCAATGCTTTATAAATGAGACCCCAAGAATCCACTCCATTTGCCTCCTCTATGTGGGTTTTCTATGTGTTTAGCTATTTGAAAGCCTACAAATCGGTAAGAACCATGTTTACAGTCCACACTGCACACTACAACAGGTTCACACTACACACATTACAATCCCTTCACGTTGAGGAAAGATCTTTTTATGAGAACGCTACACAATAAAGCCCTGCTCCCAGCGGCCAGACAATGTAGCTGTGGTATTCATCCCTGCTAGACTGTTCAGTGCTATTGAAAGCAGCTCTTGGTCAGCAGTTATTGTGCCACACTCTGCCCCCCGGCTTGGATGCAGTTTGCACAGAGCGGTGCCCACTCCTCAGCCACACATAGCTGCCCATCCTTAATTCATCTCCAGCTGGCCAAGGAAGGAACTTTCTGGACTGTCTTCTGTTTCAGTAGAAAGAGTAGAGACCTGAAAGGGACGTTTAGAGCTGTAGTGAGGTTCTTTAAGGCACGGAGCTGAAGATGTCTTTAAAGAGGAGACTACTGTCCATGTTGTTGTGTTGTGTGTACTGCGTGGCCTCTCTCTTCTGCCTCCATCCTGACAGGAACAACTGTGTCTCTCACGGCGCCCGGTGAGTTTTTCACTTGGTGTTGTTATTGTGAGTTCTGCGGGTGGTGCAGACGTGGGTTCATGGGGTTCCTCCTGCTTCTTTTTGTGGATGATGTGTGATGTAGGTGCAGTTCTCGACCATGTTAACTTTGATGCCATTGTTGCCATGTGTCTGGAATGTGCCGTGGCACCAGGGTACTCATGGACTTTCTCTTTGGGAGGGGCAAGGTCAAGATGTCGCAGTTGCTAATATGAATAATTGGATAAAAAATGTTCAGGCCCTGAAATAACAAGCCCTTTGTTGAGGTTGCATGGCACAGGTTTACAACTCTTAAATGTAGATTAACCACTAATCCATTAATGTACATGTTTTAAATTTGCTTTGGACCATATGATCTGTGAGCCAGCAAAAATCTGATTTTTCAAATCTGTCTTCATCACTCAATTCATTATAATGAGTTCAGTATTTTAGTCACATGGGACTAAATAATGGAAAATTGATTGATTGTGAACAAAAGTCCAAAAATGACTTGTAATAAAAACTAAACCAGTTGGATGGTAACTATTCCTCATTCCTTCTAACTATTCCGATCCCAATGATGATGAGAACAAACATATATTTTCTATATGAACACATATATTTCTGTTTCTCTATTTTTGCAATAACACAGCAGTTCAAACATTTCCTGAATCTGTAGAGTCGGCCTTTCTATTCCATCTTTTTGCGAGATCGTACGTGTATCACATCCGCATATATAGAAATATATGAGGCTGTGAAGAGGGGTCGAGATACACGCTGTCTGCCTCTCAATGAGTGTAATTAGTGGTTTTGTGTGAAACTGACCAGTGGACACTTTGGAAATCACTAAGGACTTACCCATCACGCCAGAAACCCTTCATTCAGTCTACATCTGAGACACTTGTGAAATAGTGTGCAAAGAGTTTACAGCTGCTGAAGTTGCTGAAGTTGTTTTGGTTAGTAGTGTTGAAGATAACAGAGCATTTTGATATTAAGTATATGAGTGTCATGTTCTATGCTAGTCTCTTTAAAGTCGAATTTAAGAAGATATGTAAGTTGAGAAAATGCACTTTGACCCCAGAAGGTTAAAGTTGTAATTCTGAAGTATTTTAGTAACATAACATAGCAGAATATTAGAAAAACACATTTGTAAAAACTCGATTTGAAACCTACCTGCCTTCTGTATTTGTATATTGTTATATATATTTGTATACAGATCTTTTTGTTCATCTGCCTACAACAAACACTATACATTTTCTAAATGGAATTAGACCATCTTTATCATACTAAATTTAGTTTTTGGACATGAATGGGTTAAACTTTTGCTTGTATATGAGCCTAAATTTCCTCACCCTCATAACTATATGCTACATATTAGTTTCATAGTGACCATTGATTTTTTCAAAAACATTGGCATAATTAAACTGTCGAGATGTAAACAAAATCATTCAGACTGGTTTGATGTGAAATGATTCATTTTAACCCAATGAATGGTCAGCGCCCACTGGTGGGCCCAAAGTTTTATTGCACAGTTCTATAACCTAAGAATAGCTAAACCAGTTGGCATTGAAGTCCCTGTAGTTACTGAGTAACTTACTATGCAAATTGGTGTGTAACTTAGTAACCCTTAGTATGTAAAAAGTCTGGGGTTTTAAGGGGTTAAAGAAATGTACCAGCTGTGATTTCTTTATAGTGGTGATAGAAACCAGGGGTCTCAATGTCTACAACACAACTATAGTAATATATAGTAAATTTATACATTTTCTATCCACACTGACTAGTGAAACTATGTCTTGTGAATTTTTATATGTAATATTGATAATAGTGAAATAGTGGTAAATCTGAAAAATATGCCTTATTTTGTCTTACAACACCTTTTATGTACCTCCCCACATGAAAGGATTTAGAAATATATTTTTAGACCTACATCTTATCTCAGAACAGTGTCTCAGGCATCAGGCAGCATATATATAACTATTTCATGTAACAGCTTTCTGTTGTTACATGAAATTTAGCAGCATTAAACACTTCAGACGTCTGGTTCCTAACACTACCACTGTGAACAATTCAGACTTCACATCAAACCAGTCTGAATAACTTTGTTCACATTTTAACAACTTAATTATGGAGAAGTTTTCTTCCTTTTTAATGCAGATGAACCTCTAAGTCTAAGGGCTTAAATATGGGCCTAGAATTTCTCACTCACTTAACCACGTTACATATTAGTTTTGTTGTGGTTAGTGAATCATTTCCAGCAGTTACTGAATAAGGTTTAAGATTAACAGCTGAACAGAGTTTAAGGGATTCACCTGACTCCTATTTAAAGGACAAGTACTTCTCAAGATGGTTTTCTTTGGTCATCTCAACTACCTGCTGGCATCCTCTCTACCATCTCTTACAGGAATCTGGTGACAGTTGTTCAGCAGCTGTACCAGCGAGTGATGAGGCTGCTTCGCACGACACTGTGAGATCAAGGCCACACTCCCTTCTTTCTTCAGACCAGGGTGGAGGCTCAACCGCAAGGGTCTTCTGCAGCCTTCTCCACAAGCGAGATTTCCATCTCACTGATATTGCATTATGAACCATAGATCACGGGGACTTTCCGAGGTTTCTCCTCACGACATTAAAGGTCTTTTTTGATAGAGGGGGTTGATTTTATATGCCTTCTGCACTAAGAATGAAGATCTAATTGTGTTTTAGGTCTTGAGAAGGATTGTAACTGAAGATAATGTCACTGTTCTGTATCTCTCTGCAGGTTGAAGTGTTCATTGAGAATGATGTTGGTGTGCCTTTATGGAATGATCAGTGACACTCCACAATATTTACTGTATTGGTTCGTTGCTGAGAGTCTGCCCAGGAAGTGAAAATACACAAAAAGCCTAATCTGTTTAGGCAATGTGAGCTTTATATTTAGCCTACTGACTAGAGTGGTCACAGGGCATGTGGAGAAACACTGAGTGCTTAGTGTAAGAAATGTGATTGAATTCCAACAAGGGAAAAGTCTTCTGCAATGTTCTTACTTGAGTTCTAAAGGAAAATAAAGGAATTGTAGAATTGTATACATTTACACCTAAATATGAAATGAATTTTCCCCTTCATTTCTGATATAATAACCCTTTAGACTCTGTGGTGTCTAGACAGACACATATTTAAATATTTCCTCTTCTTTTGACCAGATTGTCGATCTGTGAAATAAATTTAAAAAACTTAATAAATCTTTTTATTCTGGCATGGTTTTATTCAGACTCTGTTTTCTCTGTTCTCAGTGGCAAAACCTCATCTTTACTCAGACTAAGGGTTTCTGCTTATAACAGGGTGGAGAGTAACAGAGCAGAAGTCCTTTTTTTTAGTATTTAACAGGATTTTTTAACATTTACTACACCTTTACACCTTGTATATTAAACATGTACTCTTCTATAATTGAAAACTTCACTGAGGTCTTCAAGTTGTATGCGAAAGTTTGAATATCCCTGGTCATTTTACACATTTTGTTGATTTTCGAAGTCAAAATAAGTGGTAACACTTTACTGCAGGGTACTGTTCATAAGGCTACATGACACCTACATAAGCTTGTCATGACAACTGATATAACCCTACACAAATGTTTAAAAAAGCTTATTCCAATAGGTGTCCTTTGTTAAAAAGACTACTTTTGCATTTTCATTAGTTAACTAAAGTGGCCTTTATAACGAATGTTGCCTATTGGAATAGGCTTTTCTGAACATTTTTATAGGGTTATGTTAGTTGTCATGAGTTATGTAGGTGTCATGTAGCCTTATGAACAGTACCCTACAATGAAAAAGTGTTACCAAATAAGTTAACACATCTTGTACAGGGAAAAGCTTCTTTCTTTCTGCAAATATTTTCACAGGCCACAGTGTGCTTGTGTTTACTTAACATGAAAGTGAAAATGTCTCAACATAGTGACGTCACACACACAGGCTCAGAAAAAAGGTCCCACTCAATGTTTAGGTCTCAAATGCAAAATCAACGTTATACTGATGAAGATATAATGACAACAGTAGATAATTCACTCACATCCTCAGAAGACAGAAGAAGTTTTACTGAGTTCTCTTTTACTGAGTTCTCTTTAAATACTCTTTCAACACACTCGCGAAAGTCAAGATTCATCCACTTGTGGGGGACCAAAGCACAAACTACGTTACAAAATGTTCTTCTGGTGGAAATGTTGTGTGCAATTACACATTTCCACCAGAGAGGTCTCCAAATCCCCAAATCATACATAGTATTTCCTTAAGTGTTAGGTGTTTATTTTTATTTACCATGTTATCTGAAATTATCCACTTTTACTATTTGTCTCAGAGTGGTTCTAAGGACAGTGTGACTTTTTTATTGAAAGCAAAACATAGTACACAATATTAGATGCATATAAAAAAATCATATAATGTTTACACATAAATAAATTTGCTAGGGGGATGTACATAACTACACAGAAACGGAAATACACACATGCTTTAACTTTATTTTTGTTTTCTCCAATACTACAATACTTTTCATCAATATTATGAAAAACAAAAGAACTTTTCACATATTGACAATGCCAAAAGGAATAACTGTCTCTGGGTGGCTACAGAACGAATAAGCTGCGTAAATCTTATGTTTAAATTTTATAAAGTAGTTTTCAGCTGGGTGGATTTTACATGTATGTTTATATGACACTTTTGTAACTTTATGAGTAATTCGATATCAGTTAGAAGGACAGGGTGACTTTTTTAATTGATGCAATTATTAATAACAATTAATTAATAACACACATCACTACTACACACATCACTACTACACACTAGTACACTAAAAGGGAAAATTAACAGCAGCAAAATAATCTAAAATCTAAAATAACACAGTGAAATCATTTATCTCTTTAAGGGATGTAATCTAGTGCTCCATTTGTATTGTAAGCACTGACGTTTTTGGAATTGAATTTAAAAATTTGTTTTTGTTAATAAAATATTTTGTAGATAAAATAACATATTAAAGCGCAGTATTAGAATTTGTGGAGTAACAAAATATATCTTTCATGGCAAAGCCGTAACTTTAATTTACAGCAGAAAAAAGAAAATAGACTCAAGTGAGACCAGAAAAGAGACACAAAGACCTAAAACAAGTGTGAATGTTGACGAAGCCGTATTACAGGGTTATATTTCATGGAAAATTTTGAAAAGTGGTCTTGTTAGAAGGACAGCGTGACTTTGATCAGAGGCGGTGAGGGCTGTTACGTCACTGAAAGTGGGCTGAACTTCCGGACAGCGGTTCGTCTCTCCAGCCGAATCGAGGGAAAATGAAACGGAACTCCGGAGCTCGCCAAGTTTTCTCGTGGTAAGTGAAGAAATTCGCCTTGTGACCGGGACGATGGAGTCAAAGATAAAATAACGGAGAACACCTCGTCGCTCCGAGTCAGGTAGGTGTGCTGTAGGTATGATATTCGCGCTAGTTCGTGAAGGCGAAGTGTTTTCTACTTTGTTAGTCGGAGTTGTTGCTGCTGTCTTTGCTAAGCGGCTAAGCGGTCAGCTAACTAATGGCACTAGTTGAATACCGGCACAGAAATACGGTTCTTGCCAAACGCTATGAAACACGGCCTGGTGTTAAGCACATGGAAGATACATCAAACATGTGTGTTTTGGCTGCATTTCTAATTTTCTGTAGTCACAAATGTTCGGCAGTGACTTCTTCCATGTGAAGGTTTCGGAGGAGCTGTGAGCCGCTGTCACTCAACCTTACCGTTAACACAAGTGGGCACGAGCGGTGCTGATTTCCGCCTATCAGAAGCCACCGTTTTGTGATCGATGGCGCTTCTGGCCAATGAAATCGCCGTAAATTTGCGATGGCGCTGCATGCATCTTTAATACAGTCGCCTGTGTTTTTTTTCCCGGTGCACATTCGGCTATGCAGCTGACTGCACTGGGTGTATTAATAACGGGCTGGACGATGCTGTGCAATGTTCGATGGAAACAGCTCGTTTACAGCCATTTTGGCTTTTTGCTGTTTTTAGTGGGCCTCCAGCAAGCTGAGGGCACCGCGACGGAAATGGCAAACCTGAACTGGAAACCGTTCGTCTACGGGGGGATGGCCTCAATCGTCGCCGAATTTGGTGAGCAGTGCACCTGCTGGATCTGCACGATGCTCTGCATCGCTGGAGAAAAGGCCATAATGACAAGACACGTTAAACTGATGAGAAATGTGCCACTTTCATTCAGAGATAACACTAGATTGCAATGCAGTGCAATGCTGCAACGGCCCCGGACTGTGTGGAAGTGGTACATTTCTAATCAGTTCAACGAGTCTGCGTTGAATATGGCTTGGACATAGAGTGAGGTATCTTGCAAAAGACATGTAATGCAAAGTCCAAGTAATAAATAGCATATATTCTAGTTGACGTTTAGGAGGTAAAATATTATATTTGTGCTTTCCTCCTTTGACTCAAGTGTGTCCACTCATTTCATGAAATCCCTCTGTTTGAATGCTACAGGTACCTTCCCCATTGATTTGACGAAGACGCGGTTGCAGGTCCAAGGCCAGTCCCAGTGCATGGAGGTCCGCTACAGGGGCATGTTCCATGCCTTGCTCAGGATTGGACGGGAAGAGGGTATCCGGGCGCTGTACTCTGGGTAAGGGACCTGTGATGTGTGTTGGTGGAATGACAGCGTGTGCAGGAGTTGTCTCACTGGAGAGCTCTAATGTGTCAGCGCATGGCAGTTATGTTTCATGGTATTTGGAGAACTTCCACTCTCTGTTGTAAGTGTTAGTTGCTTATGTTGATTAGGATCTTCTCAATTGGCAGTTTCTTCCTAATGAGCACTCCTATTTTATGGCTCTTATATCATAGTGGTGGCCTTAGCTGCAATGAGCTAAAAATAGGTGATATTAAAACCACATGTTGTAGGCAGATATGTAGACATGCTGCTGAGTCTAGTGCTGCCCACACTTCTGGCGTGAACAGTTTGGCTGGCACATAGTCTCCATCTCAGACACTCCACCCACTGAGGTACATACCGTCCAATATGTATTGCACAATGAGCTGGCTACAACTATCTGGATTTTGTTGCATTCGGATTGGCTGTCTGCATGACAGTATGTACGCGCTTCTATCCACCGGGTTTAATCTGTCCAATGGGAAACAGTTTTGCAAACAGTATTCACCTGCTCTGTGTGCTGTGATGAGTCTTTTAGAGCGAGATATAGTCACTAGATTGAAAAATGTATGTGAAGTTCACAGCATCACAAGTTATTCAGCAGTTTCTTTGAAGCATTTAGAAGCTATTAGGTTGGTTTCTCGTGCGTGCACGCATACCATTTCTTTTTCCGAGGGTATGTTTTGGCTTTAGCCCTGTTTTGACAATCACATGCCCCTGTACGTCACACAAAAACTGATCTATGGTTGGTGATGGTTATTTTGCATGTCAGTAAGACAGCCCTTTCCTGCTAATGTAGTTGGTTCTTCACCACGTTAAATGACAACATGCACAAGACTTTGATCATAGGCGGAAGTCTGGCTTGCAAGGCTAGCTGGCATATGACTTGATGACAGCACTAGTACATCAGAACATGCCCTGTGGCTGTTACTATAGATGATATTATTCATGAAGTAATCTACCGATTAAAAAAGACAACAACAGAAGTAGACTTAACAAAACAATAAGCAACCATAAACATTTCACTGGAAAAAGATTTCATTTAAAAATGTGAATGTACTGACAGACTGTAACAACAAATGCATATAAATGGGTGTGACTTGGTTTCTTACTTTAAGAGAGACCAGAAATTTAATGTATTATTCTATTGTTTTTATAAATACATGCTCATTCTGAAATGTTAAAAAAAAACATCTTAAACAGGTGATGCAGTCATGCTTGGGTATCAGTGGAGCATCCAGAAAAGGCTTAGGTCCTAAAGTGTTTTCTTGCACAAGTTTTCAGTGGGAGACAGGTCTGGACTGCAGGAAGGCCAGTCCAGCACCTGCACTTTCTGATTATGCAGCCATACTGTTTTAACACATGCAGAGTGTGGCTTGGCATTGTCATGTTAAAATATGCATTCTAGAGATAGTCGTAGTCAATGATGCCTTCACAGATGTGCAAGTTACCCACTAATACCACTAATACCCAGCATACCATGACAGACCTTGGCTTTAGAACTTGCGCTGGTAACATCTGGATGGTTCTTTTCTTCTTTGGTTGGAAAAACACGATGTTCATTATTTCAATAAACAACCTGAACAGCTGACTCGTGAAACCACAATACACGTTTCCACTGTGCAACAGTCTATGTCAGAGGAGCTTCAGCCCAGAGAAGTCAGCAGTGTTTCTGGATGCAGTTGACATATTACTTCCCCTATGTAGTAAGACTGAGTACAGTCTTAACTTGCATTTGTAGATGCAGCAACAAACAGTGTTTAGTGACTAGGGTTTGTCATTTCAGAGCCCATGTGGTGATATCCATCACACATCACAGAATTATGCCAGTTTTAATGCAGTGCAGTCTAAGGGATCAAAGATCATGGGCATTCGGTTGATAATTTATGTTTTGTCTTTTACGCACCAAGATTTATCCTTGCAGTCATAGGTTGAGGAACGTTATTTTTAAACTTTTGAATTTTTTGCTGATGGCAAGCTTCGACCCATCCTTGATCCTAGATGTTTTTTGAACATTTCACAGTGTTCCTAGTCTTACGTTGCCCCCTCTTCCAACTGGAACATGTTGCAGGTATCAGTTTCAGAATGAGTATGTGCGTATGTACATAAAAACATATACTATGCCAGCTATTTTGGAATTGGGTTGTAGACAGAATTTAACATAGCCATTTTAACATGCTGGCCCTGTGGAAACAGAGAGTTGAAAAACTGCAGTAATAAATCCAAACAGCTTTGCTTTTGTAATGCAAGCTGTATAACACAGACTTTTCTCTTGCATCCAGAAAGTAGTATCATGTCGGTAGTACTAATACGCTGTTATCGATTTTCTCTGTGTTGTTAAGGATTTCACCCGCACTCCTAAGGCAAGCTTCATATGGGACAATAAAGATTGGCACGTACAACACACTGAAGAAATTATTTGTGAGCCGTCCTGAAGGTGAGTGTGAAGGATAACTCTGTGTGCTTCGTTTATTTCATTTCCCATCCATCACTACAGTGGACTGTTTAACCTTGCCACTTTCTTAGAGAACATGATAGCTGTAAATATGCCCTTAGCAATTGTCTTAAGTGTTATCACCCTGCCTTTCTCCAAACACTCATAAGGACTTTACCGTGCAGATAGAGATAACTAGACAGCACCATTGTTCAAACCTTCTTCAGACAATTGTGTGAGTTAATGGAAGGTATTAAATATTAAAATTTAGCTTCAAGTGCCAGTAACTGCTTCTTGCTGTTATTAGTCAGATCTGAAAAAAATATTCCTACTATGTAGCCATTGTGCCATGCTGTATTTTGTATATTGCGTTTTTTCATACCATTCAGTGAATCCCAAATGGTACATGAAATACTGTGCAAAAGTTTTAGGCACCTAAGCAAGTTGTTAAAAACAGTTTGCTTGCAAAAACACTATTAGAATAAATGCAAACATTTGGGGCAAAACAATTGAATTTCTTGTTTTTTTTCTTGTTATTTTAGTAGTTGTCTTATGAGCTAATTTGAAAAACAAAGTTTGGTTCCAGAATTCTCCTCAATGCCCCCAGCCATCACATTGATTTGGTAAATTCCACAACCAGCACATCTTATTTATTGTCAAGAAGTATTGATTAAACCAGGTATTAGGTGATAACTACAAATAATACTAGGCTGCCCTGGGGAGAGGTTATGAAGAGGTGGTTAAACAAACACATTGACATACATAAATTATATCTATTCTAATACTGTTTTTCTGAGCAAATAAATGTTTTTTATTTAGATTAATGTCTTTAATATAATTTTCTCAGAACTAGAACTTCTACACAGTACTATACCTTATAACCTGGCGTGGGGGCCCTATGAATTTTGTCCCAACGGCAGAAACAAAATTGAGTCTGTGTAGCCAGAGTTTAATTCCTTTGCAGCAAAACAAAACTACAACCTACATTACAACACAGCAAAAACAAAACAAATTGTATTCTTGCATACATATATATGTATTTACATATATTTACATACTTCTATATATCAAGGTGAGTGTACATCATGCTAAGCAGAAAAGGGGCTTTATCCAATGGTAGTTGAGGAACTCCTTTCAGTAACATTCTTTAGCAGATGAAATTGAGCTGAGCAAAAACTAAAACTTTAGCTTCCACTATAACATTATTGACCAGGCAATAAAGCAGCCAAATTTGCTCACATAACCCTAGTTAAACCATTAATAATTGCTAAGTGATACAGTGCTAAATAGGACAGTACAGTGGTTCAGATGCCACATTGATAGCATTACCTTTGCTAGCAGGGTATCAGGTCCACTAACCTACTAACCAGCTAATTGTCACTCAAACACCAGTCTGTCATATTTGCTTACTCAGATTTGAGTGTTTATCTTCTGAACTTGTTAGTGGAGCTTCAGTTAGCTGGAATCAAACCTGTCCTGTAATGTGTGGAGCTGTTAACCTGCTAGCTAGGCACTGTACTGTGCTAGTGTAGGCTTTTCAGTATCTAGCAAATGTTGATCCCTTAACATTTATTGACTGATTAATTGAAAACCACACTGGTTGTTTATTTGAAAACTGACTGTGTTTATTAATTTGGAAGTTTATTAGAAAAAGTGAAATAGAGAGTAGAACAGAAATTTGACACTGCCACAAGGGTTGCACCGATACCGAAACTTCAATGCTGTATCAGTATTGGCGATGGGGATCGAGCAATTTCTGACACTAATTAGTGACGCATGTGGATGGAACTTAACCCACACTGCCAATGTGTTGCTGACAAGCAGCAGTAAAAATGCCCACGATCACTTGAGCTCATGGCCATGTAACGGCAGTATTTTGTGGGAAGGGAATGGTAGTGGGTTGGAATTCTTCCCAAGATATTATTTTTATTGGTATGCCACACATAAGCCAGATAATACAATGTACAAACAGTGGAAAAAAACTGTAGCCCTTTAACGTTACTTGAATGGCTGAGTCAGTCTTCTTTCAGTAATCCCTCTTCTCCCACTGTATGTAATTAGTTACAGTCTAAGTTAATTTTACTCCAGGTTGTTACCGTGGGAGTGAATTTTATCTTGGGGAAATTATAGCCTTGGTTTGGCCTTTAGCGTAACACCCCACTAGCCAGGCTAGTGTGTCCACCTGCCCTTCATTGGTCAAAAGCATCAGACAGTGGCGTGGTCTTGTGGCCTGGTGCTCCCATTAAGCCATGGAATCTACTGAAAACAGCTGCTACTGATAATGTGAATGACTGTAATGTTTACTGAACTACAGCAAATTCTGACACTTCTAGATGTAAGTGTATGAGCCACATATATGAGATAAATCACTTGAGAAATTCAGGCATACATTCAAACTTGGTATGTAGTGGAATAGTATAAATATCAAGACTATAATAGTATAAATATCAAGAAGCTAGTTAGAGTATTGGTATCAGCACATACATACAGGATCAGGTATCGTAAGGAAAAAGTGGTATCAGTGCATCCCTAACGGTCACAGTTCTAAAATACCTTTTTTAATTTTTAAATACAGTATTACCATCATACCACCCAACCATGCCAGAGTAGTTGTAGGTTTGCAGCCCGGCTGGATGTGTTTTTGTGTGAATGCGACTCCTGAGACCACTCATCTTTGCTTGTGATAATGCGACTAGTCCCATCTGGCATGTCTAAGAGGTGGACGCTGAATTGGTGGAGGGTCATTTGACACACTGGGACTGAAACAGCAGGGGTTCAAGTAAGAACTGATGTTCCTGTTAAATTGAACTAGTTGTAGACATGAATAAACACAGATTAACAAAATAAAACACAAATACAAAGTAACAAATTAACAGATACAAAGTGATCCCTACTATATGTAATGTAAACATGCATCATGTATAGTGATTTGTTTTCAGACTTTAGGCTTTATCTGGAGTTGCATTTGACAGAACTTCCAGCAATGTCATCACAGCCTGGCTCTCCAAATACCTTTTGAGGTTATTGTTGTGACTCATTTCTCCAAAACAGGGTGCATCCACCGTCACTAATGCACTGTCCAAACAGGAGATGCTGAAGGGAGTGGCAGAGTGCTGTCTGACACTAACTGGCACTGGCGCCAGCATATTTCTACCCTTATCCATTCTATTTAGCAAACAACATCAATATTTCTTGAACCCCTGCTGTGATCTGTCAGAAACGGCAAATCTTCACAATGAAGCCAATGGTGCTTTTATGTGTGTTGTGGCCCAGTATATTTTTTTATTTTCTTTCTTTTTTTTTCTCTTTTTTTTTCTGTTTTTGAATCTCTCACTGCATGCTTTGCCAAGGATGCCACTGTGTGTCGAATGCTTATTTTGATACAGGCTTTGGTTTGCCTGCTGGTGTGGGGATTCCAATGCCAAAATGAACAGCGCGTGGTGGACCACACTAACTATTGGTCACATTGATCAAGGAATTACTGTAACTATTGTTCTAAACTCGATCCATATTTATTTATTATTTTTTTCCTCTTTTCTCCCTCCTGTTATCATGCCAGTTGTTAGTAAATGTAATGTGGAGACTAACAATAATGTTTTCTTTACTTTGACTATATTTAGGTTTGTTTATGGGGCTTTCACTACTCTTGATTGGTGCTGTTAAGTTAGGGTGCAGGTTATATTATAACTAGTGCAGGTTATATTATAACTAGGGCTGGGTGATATCTTAACATAATAAGCACACTATTTTTATGTTAAATCTTGTTTGGAGATTACTGATGAGAATTGCATATTGCAATTGCAAAATGAAAGCTATATATTAAATGATTTAAATAAATAGTAACTCAACATCTTTTGGTATTTTTATTTTTTTTTACCTTCATTTTGAAAGTGCTTTCTTGAGCTGGCAGTGTGAGGTCATGGCTTGTGCACTCCCCCTTGTGGAGAAACCTTCGGACTGCTAAATGTGCATGAGTAAATGAGAGAGCCCCATAATAAGCTGTAACTTAAACCTTAAACAGTAAAAAAGAATATTACAATACATGTACATGTTATTTAATATAATTTGGCCAGCTGTTTAAAATTAAATTAGTGTAGTTCTCCATCAGTACTTTTCCCCCAGTGTCACTGGGTAAATCATCGCTGGTGTTCAATTGTTGCCCAGGCCTAATAACTCTCCCCCCCTTCAAATAAATGTATTTCTGAGGACCTTCTATTAATTAAGAAGATCCATTCATCGCACGAGGCCCCTTCTCCCCTTATTTTTGGAGAAAAAAAATAGGCTTTTTTCATATTTTATTTTGCAAAAGTATCCGACCAGTTAATCATCTCAGCTCAGCTGGAATTTGTTTACTGCATGTTCACCTCTACATCTTGTTTATAGTTTTAAAGTTATTCTGTTGATAATATGAGGCCTAATCAGAATTAGTATGGTATCTTTTTCTTTTTTTTCCCCTTTTTCTTTTTCTTTTTGTCCTTGCGTGTACTGTGTGCCTTTCTGTTTCTGGACGACACATTCAGAATGCTAACTGTCTTTGCTCCTTGCAGATGAGACCATGGTAATCAATGTGTTCTGTGGTGTGGTGTCTGGAGTTTTGTCCTCTACCTTAGCTAACCCCACAGATGTGCTAAAGGTAAGCAACTGTAAACAAGTCTCTTGGCATATGACTGAAGATTATGATTTCTGCAGTCTGTTGATACATTTAAAGCACATTTTTGTCATTATGAAATATACAATGACAAATAAATAATGGAAATTAGGTAAGTATATATTACATTTAAGTGAAGACGGTGGTCTAAATAAATATTATAATTTAATTGTAGAGCAATATGGTCAGATATACACGTCAAAAAGGATCTGCATTTTCAGACAGGTTACAAAGAAAAGGACAACATAAAGTGTAAGATGCTGGGCCACCAGGACTTGCCAGAATACATTAATTGTGACTTGGCATAGATTCTACAAGTCTCTGGAACTGCACTTGAGAGCTAAGACACCATTGTTTCAAGATCTGGTGATTGCATAGGCCATAGCATATGAATTACCTTTACAGATGATAATTTTCATACTCACCTAACTATTCGATGACCCCTCATGACCTGTGAATGGGGGCATTGCCATCCTGGAAGAGAACACTCACATCACAGTAGAAATGTTTCTTCATAGAATAAAGATGATTAGTCAGGATAACTTTGTATTGACTTGCAGTCAGCCTTCCATGTAGGAGCCACCAGACTCCTCAGTCTAGGGGTCAAGCATTCATGCCTGTACGGTTCTCTTGGCGTACGTCACACATTTACTTGCCACCTTATGTTGAAGGATGACTCATCTGACCAGATCACTTTTTTCCCACATTTCTATAGTCCACTGCCTGTGGCTTTTACAGCACTGAGCTCTCAAACATGCATTTGTCTTTGTAACATGGGGCTTATGCCCTGTAGCCCTACTGTAGAATCCCTCTCTGTGTAGTTGTGGACCAATTGTTCTTGCTGACACAGTATTTTAATTGCTACAATTGGTACATTGTATAATTAAATGCATCTGTACTCTTCATGTAGTATCTCACCTCCTCCTAACTTTTATGAGGAGGTGACATACTATTATGTACATACTATTATACTAAATTCTGCAGTTCTGCATAACCTCAAAATAACATCTGCTCTAAAAAAAGGCTGTGGTGGAGGTTGTTCCTGATGTTTTATTGTCCTTTTGGTGTACAGATTCGTATGCAGGCTCAGGGCAGTCTGCTACAGGGCAGCATGATGGCCAACTTCATTAACATCTACCAGACAGAGGGCACCAGAGGGTTGTGGAGGGTGAGTCAATGAACAGTGACCCATGGGCAAATGAAATTTCAGCTTGAGTTATTCAGGCTTCAGTGCAGGTTTACAAAAATACCTGCTCCAGCAGTTAAAAGCACCAGTAACAGATGCCTGTTCCAGATTAATCCACTTATAGATGCATAGATATAAAACTGTATAACTGACATTTGTTGTATTTTTCTGTTACAAGACTGCACTCATCCTCTTACTTTAGGGTTAGGGCAAGTGGTATGTGGAGTTTTTATCACGATTAACGATGTATATATAACTGTTACAGTTCCAAAATGTGTGATAATGAAACTCTTATTTAAGTGAAACTGCATTTGCATCACTGTAGTGGAATGATTATTTGTTGCCTCAGGTTTTAGCTCATTTTAAAGGTCTTGCAAAAGTCCTTTCAGTCAAAGTCATGTATTATTTTAAGAACTGAAGAATCTGTACATATTTACATTTTAAGGTGTTTTTGGGTGTGCCGCATGGATTCTTAATCACAGACTAATTTTGACACTAAATTGTGTTGCAGGGTGTTATTCCCACAGCACAGAGGGCAGCCATTGTGGTTGGTGTAGAGCTGCCAGTGTATGATATCACAAAGAAGCACTTGATTCACTCCGGCCTTATGGGAGACACTGTTTTGACTCATTTCATGTAAGTAGAGCCTTTCTGGGATAGTGGTTGTGTGTCAGCTTACATTGAGCCCCTGAGTGCAAGAAACAAAAAAATGCACAAATTCATGTCAAATAAAGCACGTATTTAACCCCCTCCAGACCTGGTATTTATGGAAGCATATCAGTATCAAAATTAAGGTGAAAATGTAAAATGCGAAATGCCAGTGCAGTCTAAATTAAAATTTTCCACTCATACATTCAAGTTTGGACTCAGAATGAAAATTCAGTTTAAATTCAGTAATTCCGTTTACATTTGCCATTTGGTGCACTAGTACTGACATTTCATTTACACTGAGTTTTAGATGCTTTATGAATAGCTTTAGAGTCAGATGTATTTCCAGAACTGCATATTTATGCCTTATGTGATTATGCAGTAATGGTCTTTTAATGGTGATTTATTAAAAGGTAAGTCAACTCCTATGCATTTGCACTGTTTTTAAAACACCAAGCTAGAAAGATGTCAGAATTCAAATGGAAATGGAAACAGCACCTCTCCACTTGTTTCTAGAATATTACATCATTAAAGGCTGTTAATCAGAAAGGTCCTTTGCAGATGAGAAATGCAGCCAACATTCTGGCAGTTTTTAAGGATGCTACCATAGGATCTTTCACAGTTTTCTGTTGCCCATAATTCTGTGTGTATGAAATTGAACTGAAGAAAGCTCTGGCAGGTGAATCCACCGCATCTACAACCACATATAGAACCACATTCCCCGCAGCATTCCAAAAGCATGTTCCAAAAGCGTTTGTGTTGAAAATAGTTTAGTTTATCTGTCAGCTTTCTACAATGATGGATTACCTAAAATTTAGTCTGTTTATATCAAGAACCAAGCTATACTTGGGCTATCAGATAACCAATGTTAACAGTAAATGTGCTATGCAGCTTGTAATAAATACTGTTTTAAAAAGCCTGTACAATATGTAGTACACAGTACAGTAGTAGGTCATACAGGTGACCCCATGTTCTGCACATTTTTGTGGTTTCCCTACTCTACACACCTTGCCCAGTCCACAAGGAGCTTGTTGTAGTTCATTAGTTAAATTGAGTGTGTTTGATGAGACAAAGCACATAAATGTGTGGTGTTGCCAGGACTGGGATTGGGAACCCCTGTAGTTTGTCATGACAAAGCAGCTGTGGTAGACCGTTCCGTTTTGCATTATGTAATACAAACAAGAAGCATTCATAGGACAGTGATACTGAGGACCCACCTTTCTCAGCTGCAGCCTAGCTTTTGATACGCAGCTGTGGAGCCCAGATTTGACCCCGACCATTATGTCTGTGTAGTTCCAGTTTTGCTTGTGGCCTGGCGGGGGCACTAGCCTCTAATCCTGTAGATGTGGTGAGGACTCGGATGATGAACCAGCGTGTGCTGTCTGGGAACTTCCTGTACAAAGGCACACTGGATGGACTCATGCAGACTTGGAGAAATGAAGGCTTCTTCGCCCTCTACAAGGGCTTCTGGCCCAACTGGCTGCGCTTGGGACCCTGGAACATCATTGTATCCTTTGATAAATATACATCCATCAACCCCTCACAGATCATTTCTTTTTGTTTGTTTTTACACTATTTTACCTCTAGTGTCCACTAGAGGTCAGCATATAGTTACCGACAAGGTTCTTATGGTGTATTTTTTAATCCTTAGAAGTAGAGTTGTTTCAGTTGTTTTGTCATGTTGTTAAATGTAATAATGATTACATAATCAGTTACATGTTGATTTGCATTTTTTTTTTAAATTTACATTCTATAGCAACAGGTCTGCATTTCGGCCCTTTTTATCAAACATTGAGTGCGTTTACATGAACGTAATAATCTGATAAATGTAGAAAATCAGATTTTGTTAGTAATCCGATCAACGCATTTACATGCAATTGAGTAATCAGATAATGGGGAAACTCCAGGTCTACATTAATCAGGCAGTAATCAGATTTCTGCTTTACAACCAGCAGCCAATAAACTCGCAGAAGAAGATGTAATGTAACACTCAAACTTCATACAGTCTGTTTTCACACATGTGCAGACTGAGAAATCTGAAAGAAATCCGGGTAAAAGTTTTCATGCACTGAGAAATCTGATTACTGAGCTAAAATCCAGCTCTCTTTATTGGATTTCTTAATTGGAGTATGTTGTTTATGTGACCATTTGAATAATCAGATAACTGCAGAAATCCATTATTATCGGATCGAACGCACTGATTGACAAAAATGTGAAGACCACTTTTGCAAATGCACAGCAACAGCTTTTTATTAAATTCAAGCATAATAAAACAGCATGCTTACAAACACAAAAGGTTCAAAACCGCACTTTCTGCAGAATTTCTTTGTTTGCTTCAGTTAGCTATGAATAAGAAATTATTAATATGAAATTACAGCATGCTTTTGTCATCACAGTTGTATTTCATTGAATATTACTGTTGCGGTTCATAGCCTTAACTGATTGCTTTAGTTCTTCATCACCTTTGAGCAGCTGAAGAAGCTTCCGTTATAGCTGAACCAGTGACACTCCACAGGCTAAAAGTGTGTGTGTGTGTGTGTGTGTGTGGAGGGGCAAGGGAACACATTGCACCTCTCCTGCCTTTGTCCTTCCTCGAGCATCCCTCCTCTGTCACTCCCTTTATGTGCATGCTTGTTTAAGTGTTTTTCTTTTTGGTTTCATAAATACTTTTTTTTCCCCATAAAACCTTTTTAATGAGTCCATTTTGCACCTAAGCCTTGTTTTTTTTTTTTGTTTTTTTTCCCCCCCTCTCTCTCCTGGCAGCTAAATGTTAGGTCATCGCTCAGAGCACAAACCTTGTTTTAGCCTTGGAAATGCTATGTCAGCTAGTAACCACGTTTGAACTAATTTGAAAAGAAAAGTCAAAAGGAGATAAAAAGGAGACTTATTTAGAGTCTCAGAGTGTTCATACTAGCTAATTGACCTAACTTTACTGAATTTTCCCAGCAAGTCCCTCATTTTCGTTGTGGGGGCATAACTAGCACTGGTGGCTTCCATTTAGCCAACAGAACATGGCTAGTGTCTAGGTGAATAGCAGAGATATGTGAAATGCTTTTAAGGCAATTATACTCCTATTTAGTCTGATTTGTTTAAATGAACAGTGTATCCTGCCCAGATCAGATCGCCTGAGCACTTTCATGTGGCCCTTTTTTTGCTTCAAGTGAAATGCAAAATCGTCTCTTTTCTTCAGGCGCTCTCTCATACTTAAACATCGCTTGATGCATCTTGTGTTTTGTGTAGTGGCCTCAGTAAAACTTCAGTCTAGTCAGTAAGAGGAAGCTTTTCTCTAGAACATGCAGGGTCCTCGCTGTCTTCAGTACGTTCACACCTGCACCGGTGGGTGCAAATGTATGGCTGTTTTGTATACGGGCAAGAACACATGAATCTGAATGGGTAGAATATTTTGATAGGAGTGATAAACTGTATATAATTCTGTTGCACATTAGAATGTTTGAGTTTTTCTTTTAAAGTTGTTTTTTTTTTTTTTTTTAATTGAACAACTCCATGATAGATGTATGTAGCGTTGGAGCGCTGGTCTCATTGCCAAAGTGTACTGTACAGAACTGCACTGTTGTGAATGAGCTTTCAAATGATCTTTAGGATGGTACTGTTACATATTGTACACTCTCTGGTCATAATGATTTCATGGTCAGTCCTTTGTACTTGATTTGAATCCTGCTTTTAATATGCCTTTGCATTCTGCATATGCCTCTTGGTCACTGGTTACCGGATGTGAAAGGAGCTACACTTAAGACTGAACCAGCAATATGGATTTTGCTTCCTGAATCTGTTATTGTAGATATTATGAGCTAAACTGCTTCATTGTACCTGAAAAATCATTTCTCATGTATTGATCATGACAGCTTTTGAAACGCCAATTTGGAAACGGTTTGGTGAGCCACGGTGCCGTTATAAAAGCTATTTTTAATATTTATAACTAATTCTGAAAATGTTTTAATGCTCATTAAGTGAAATCTAGGCATACAAATCACACTGTAGCTCCTTTCAAGAGTAACAGCCAATTTGTCATCTTACTTTGTCACACTGATAAGAGCTAAGATTTGTCATGTCTTGTGTTTTCTTTGGACTCGCCTCAGTATGTTAAGGTTATACGATCTTTGAAGGCCTGGATTATTTCACAGTTTTTCTTTTTTGTACTCTTGCCTCTACTGTCTCCTCTGTCTTTTGGCTGCTTCTTTCCTCTTCCTAAGCATGATGCATGCTGCTTTGTTCCACACTTTTCTGCCATTGTAAAATGCCTATTTCCATGTGCTGCCAAGACCAAGAAACAGATACACCCATGTGCCACTTCACACTTTTCTCTTGTAGATTTCCAACAGCATTACTTTATATTATTTTTCCCTTTTATTGTCCTCTCATTTGTTCCATTTTTAAGTTCCTGATTATGGAATTTCCTTGACCTTAGCTAGCATATAGTCTCTTTTTCATCGTTTTTCAGAACCAAAGGACTTTTTATTTATTTTATGTTCAATTTAAGGTAATGTATGTGATTGCATACATTTAATTGCTAATGTATAAACTGATTTGGTGTGTGACCATGGGGTTTTGGGTTGTATAAAAGTAAGACACCTCTCCATGATCTCTAAATCTTACATTATTGTAGATCTTTGAAAAAGACACTAGACTGGAGATTATTGAAATTATATAGACATATTGGCTTTATGTAATATATTTTAAATTATACTTTGGTGGATAAATTCTTTCTGCATATGGAGAACGAGAATGCAAAGAGGATCTTGAATGAAAATGGTGCTTTGGAATCTGCATGGAGAATGTGGATTTAGGTTGACAAAAGCTAAATTTATATCAATCATATAATGACTTTAGCCTCCAACATGGTTTCCATGCTTCCCTTCATCATCATCAGTGCACTTTCCATATGCTGTGACTTCTATCATAACTATTTGCTGGATTACTGCTCTGCTCACTCTCAGTCAACTGACTTGCCAAGTTCTCTCACCTTTGATAGTTCTCAGCTATGATGGTGAACATGCAATCGTAATGTAAAATAACTCGTTGCTTGATGATGAACCGTATGAAACTTGGCTATATTCTGTGGCTGTTTTTGCTTTGTATGACATAAATGTGCACCTGACAATAAAACAAGTTTCCTGATGGTTGATTACTTTGATTTCGGAACACATTTTTCACATTCCTGTTGCTGACAATTATACTGCACTGACAAAAAGGCTCGTTAACTGTGTAAGACCATCAGCTGTTTGTGACTTCCCTTTTATTGAGCTCTCATGTTCATCACTTAGGGGGCCATATATTTTTTCCCCTTGTGGTTCACTTCTGACGTTTGTATGGAAATCCATATTACAGCCCATGGTTTTGGAATCAGATGTCCAACAAATTAATGTAGGTGTGATGGTCTGGTGTCCACATACTTTTGGCACACCATACAGTGTATATTTCTCCTCAAAAACTTTAATTTGTTTGGTTTGATTAAACAAAATGGTTCCAAAACATATATTTTTTTTCCTACATACATTTTTCTATAAAATGTCTATTGATCTTTTGAATTATGAGGTCATTTAACAGTTGAAGTACTAATAATCCTAGATACATGCCACAACCAAACAAACACTTCTCGGTATTGAAATGACACTGCATGAAAATTAGTATTCTTTTAAACATTATTAAATAACAACAGCTATATAAACTGATATTAAATACACGGCACATTGTGGTGGTAACCTAAATTGGACATATGGATCCAAAATCGTATTTATTATTCAAGAATTTTTAGCCCAATCATTTGTTTTTTTTTGTTTTGTTTTTTTTGTTTGTTTTTTTTTGTTATTAGGACTGACATTCCCTGCTGTCCATATACATTTTGCTGTCCATGCATTTGTCTATATTGACATATGCAGTCAAGTGATGAGCCAAGTAATAGAAGCCCCAGACCCAAGACCCCAGCAATGAGAGGCAAACCTTTAAAAATGCCAATCATATTGCATAATACTGCCATCTTATCAGTGTGCAAGATACTGGTAGCCGGTCAGAAAACAGGTTTTAGGCAACCAGTCAGATTGTGGGATACTAACAGACAATTAGAGCACAGGCAGAGAACTTGTAGAGAGGAGAATAACCACTCTGTAATGTCTTCCTTGTTTCTCAAACTAGAGGGCGCTCCTGAGCGAGTCCAAAATGAATGGGTTAATATGGAGCATTTGAGCAAAGTCATAGTTCATAAATGCTTAAACAATTTTAATGTAAAAGAATAGTAATTTCTTGAACACTGAATAGCATAAAACATTTTAACACTGCTGTTATATTTTTAAACGCTTTTAAACTCCAGTTGTACTAGTTTAAAACGGCACTTCATGTTCATTCATGACGTCAGTGAGCGCGAACAGCCAATGAGCTGCTCCATTCGCCAACCAATCAGCACTCAGTAGCAATATTGTTAGCGTCCTGCTGCCCAAAACCTGTTTTCTGTAGAAAAAAGGAAACATACAGGTAAATTATTTTAGTGAAATAGTTTTTAGTGAAATACATTCTTCTAGTTTCAAAGAAAAGGAAAGGAAAGTTCTGGCAGTGATTAGAATCAATTTGAACTTTTCGTTTTTAGCCGTTTAGCTCCATTATTTGAGGACTCGCTCGCGGGCGCCCACTGCCATTTTGCAGACACGTTTTTGATTTAACGGGGGAAATAGTAAAGAGGCCAGGCTCCAAGTAAACCGGCTCTGATGTAGGATTCAGATCAGAACACAGGATATTGCTAGCCAATCAGAGAGCAGGATCACCTGAGGAGCAGGAGTGCTGATCTAGAATCAGCTTTTGTAATCATGATAGGTTATAACTACGAAAAGATTCTGATCTGGGATCAGTCAGTCCTCTCTCTCCGATCAGAAGAGATTCATATCTAACTGTGGCTTCGCAGTTAGATATAAAACTACCACATACTACTACAGCCTCCCAAGCAGCGTGTCTAACACTACACCACCATCAGTCCATTCACTCCTATAGTCCGTATAGTGTGTCCTACAGTATAGTGTGTGGTTTCGGCAGCTCTTCTACCTTCGTACTGAATTCCTGATTCTCCCGTTTCGGGTTTCCTCCTATCAGGTGCGAGCTCGTGAGCGCTGTGGAAAGGTATATCAGGCTCCACCCCTAACAAGCTCAAAGCCACCGCTGAGGGAAAACTCTGAAGTTTCGGTGTTGTTAAGCTTCTCCTCAGACGAAGTTCCTCGCTTTACCCGCTTTTACGCACATTTTCTTAATTTAATCGCTGTATGAACAGTTGAACTGTCCTCTCCTGCTCTGGAATCAGTCTGAAAATGACCCTTCCTTCGGCGCACAGCACGGCCACCCTGCGCACCGTGAGCGTCGCCTCAGAGCCGGCCGTGACCACGGTGCTGTCCCCCGGACAGTTCAACATCAATGGAGCCTCGACCCTGCGAGCGGTCAGCGTGGCGTCCGGAGCTCCGCTACAGTCCGTCCAGTACGTGAACGGCGCCGTGGACGGAAACTTGCTGCAGGGAAACGTGCGGTACCTGGTGCCCGTCCAGCGGTCCGCCGAGTCCTACGTGCTGGTCAACCAGGCGCCGCAGATGCTGAACCCGGTTTACGTACAGAATGTGCAAAATTTGCAGCGGGTCAGCGTCAGCAGCGTGGAGGACACGGACAGCTTCCAGCAGCTGGTGAGGTTTTCATCTGTTTTGTTCGCATATAAGTCACCAATGTTTCTTGGGTGAAACTACGGGATTAAAAAGTATTAAAGACTCACAGTCACAAAAATACACTGACATTATGTTTGTTCGCCACATCTTGTCGTAGCACCTCAAGTGTTTATCATGGACTAATATTATCTCAGGGGTGATAAACCATAATTTTGGGTGTCTAACAAACCCATTAAAGCGTGGCCTCCTCTAACTGGTTTAAACCAGACTTGAATGACTTGATGGTCTCAGCTGAGAAGTTGATGAGAGACCCAACAACCCAGTGTTATTATTCACTGAAAAAAGGCCTTTGAATTTACTTGATTTAAGTCTTGACTTAAATGCACATCTGAAAAAGGTGCATTTAAAGCACGGTTTTACTGTTTGTGGGTTGTCATGGCTGATAAGCTTCTCTGCTTTACTCTTCACTGTCATTTTGCCCAGTCCAGCTTTAAGAAAAATGATTTTGTGAGACATTTCGAATTCTAACTGACTTTTGACTGTTGATCACACTGGTGGCAATAGCGTTATTTTATCAGCACATATTCGGGATTAGTCAATGACGCATCTTTGATAGGATATGATTTTAGTCCATGAGCTTGTGCTGCTTGATCCTTTGGCCCATCAAATGGAGGATGAAGTATTTAGTGCTGGGACAGATCTCCAATACAGAGCCAGATGTTCTTTTTTAACACTGTAGTTCAATGCTAATGATTAGTTCACCTAAAGCCGCCTTGCTTGTTTACTTTGCTCATGTTTGTCCTGGGAAGCTGTTTGTGTGGGCCGCAGGTCATTTGAATGATTTATGTATTCTCTTTTATACATGCTCTGTTTGTCACATGATGGGATGTTAATACGCTGATGCTTCCTCTTCCCATTTAGAATATCAATGGCAAAGGTTCATCTGTATTCAGCCAAACATCAAGCCCAACCAAGAGTCCTGAGCCACCAGAGGTAAGGCCATAAACTCATGATGACGTTACCTGGAGATGACTGCATACACAGCAGTTACCCTCACTCACACCTCCACACCTTTTTTCCGTTTACAGTGTTTGTCTTCCATTCACGCTAGCATTTATTTATGGTGCATAACATTTTGAAATATTATAGTCAAAGGTGCAGTATTGATGAGCATTGTTTTATATTTCCTTGTCTTTATGGACAGGCCTCAGCTGAAGTGTTGCTGTGTGAGCGTATGTGTGTGTCAGTGGGGTTTATGAGTTTGGGTAATAGTGCTGTACCTGCAGGGTGTGTTGCGGGTGTGTCAGACTGGAGGAATGGACTCGTTCATTCCCAGATGACATTGTGTGGGAACACCCTTTTCGATCTGACTATGATAATAGTAAAAAAAAACCTGCTGGAACAGAAAAATAACTGAATGCAAAGGAGCTGACATGTGATTGCTTTTGGAGTGACTTTTCCCACAACTACATGAGTCAGTTGATGCATGCTGTTATACATGAACAGTTTTTTTGAGCTCATCTGGGTAGGAAGTACCAAATGCTGTATATGAGACATATCGTAAATAAATATCAGAAATATCATTAGTTGTTTGATGCTTAGAGTGAAAAGAGCTCTCCTGTCAGCCACTGTCATTAGTATTATGTGAATTAAGCTTGAACGATAATTCAAATTATCCTCTGCAGAATTGTTGCGATAAACAATCATTGTGCTCCAAATTCAGGAACTATTATGAGCTTTAGATCTCATTTTCCCTGATAATAACATTATTGCCTTGTAATTACCAACTAGGTTTGTTTCTAATATTGATTAATAATGCATAATCGTAACTATATTCTGCACAGGCAACACGTAGCACCGTTAACATCCATTGGTTCTTCATATTTGTTTGGCTGTAAACCAAAATATTGCCAAACCTGCATGACGCTTTTCTTCCAAAACCCATTTTGCTCTCTAGCGGAAAGTTGATTTCATCATATTTCATTCCAATTCTGGTATCGACATTCCAGAAAGGTATACGTGTAGTTAATAAGATTGTTTGTATATCCAGTAATTAAGTGAAGCAATAAAAACACAGAATGAAAAAAAACATAATAATAATAAGAATAATAATTAACTTATATAGGCACTTATTTAATTCAGTAACATCGGTTATCAGCCCAAGGCTGATGTGAATTCCACACATAAACAACTTGCATTACGTAACTTTTAGATACCTTACGCAACAGTGGAGAAATGCTGGAAAGCCATGCAACAGTTTCTCATTTAGTTTTTTGTCACTTGTCTCTCTGGTTTTTCATGTCTCAGGCCAACAACCTGGGAGGAAAACGGCAAATGTGCTTCTTTTTTTTGATGCACGTGAAGCTCTTCTCACATTTTAAACTGTACAGAGCATTTTGGTGCATTCAGAAAAGAATATTAAGTGCTGTTCTGCCATACAGCCATGCAGGTGCTTAACCGTTTATTCATACCAGTGAGAACATAAGTAATTGCATACTAGGGAGGGGACAGTTAACAGTTTTAATGATATACTGCAAACCCAGTGATACACACAGTTTCAAATTGTAATCACGATAAACATGTACAAAGTCACAGACAAAGTTAGTAACACATATAAAAAAACAAATAGCCTAAACATTAAAACTCCTAGAGATAACTTCGTGTTTATTCATGTTGTAGATGATTTTTCGAGGTTCTCTAACAAGGCTTGATTTTGATGTACATTAGCAGAGATGGCACATTGGTATCGGGCTGATATCAGCAGGAAAGGCTGGATTGGGTATTGCAGGGGAGAAAATAAGAAAATTTGCGAATCAAGCAAAGAAGCTGCTGGTGTTCTCAGAACAATGGACTGACCAGCCCAGAGTCCAGACCTCAGCATTATTGAGAGTGATTGGGATTACTTAGATTGTAGATCATACTTTTTATAGAAGCAGATAATTAAACCAACTTCAATGACTGAGCTTTAGAGATGTGGAAAAATATCCCGGCAGACTTATTAAAAAAACTGTAAACTATAAATTCAGTCAGATTCGATTTGGTAAAAAATCTGTATTGAAATAGCAGAGACTCACACTGTGAGATGTGATGTAAGCTGTGTATTTCTTTATGTGGTAGTAGAGAGTTTGAGTGAGATAGCCTTTTTTAGTATGATAGACTTTTAGGTGTTCATCCTGAGTGACGTGCTTCAATTTAAAAGTAGCTAATTTTAGAACTTTAAACAAAGAATATTAGAGTAGTATCAATTGTGGATAATTTTGGTTGCTGATATGATTTTCATACCATTTTGTTGTTACTGTATGCATGTGAATACTTTGCAACAGACACATTATTATAAAACTGTGACACAAACCTGATTCCTGGTTGTATTGCTCTGTATGCTTTGACTCTCATTTCTGGTAGGTTCAGAAGTAGCTGAACGTATGAGATCCACGCACAGACATGTTTAACATGCTGTGCAGAGAAGACTGGATTGCCTCATGGGTGCTGATAGTTAATCTTACAGACACTTTTATCCTCAGGCAAAAAAAACTCACTGACTGTAACTTTGTTTTGCACACTTGGAATTTGGTTAGATTTACTCATTTTCAACTTAATGGTGGGAAAAACTGCTGAAAGTTTGGACACTGTTAAGGTTAAATGAAGGCAGAAATAGATTAGAATGTAGACAATGTATTTAGGAAACACTTCAGTTTGACATATATATATAGAAATAAGGTATATTTAGAAGTACCCTTCATTTCAGATGAATGAGAAAATGATTAAAGTTATCTCCTTCTCTCGTGAAGTGTTGACAGACTTTCACGTTTATTCATTTGTTCAAATTTGGGTGAACAGACTAACCAGTCTTCAAAGATGCCATTAGCTGCACTGTAATTTACTGATAATCATCTCTGGGCCATAATCCTTAGGCATGTTAGGACAAGAACAGGTACAGTACAGTTTCACTTGTATAAGAAGGGATCATATCCTATGCAAGAACTGTACATCTCACTTAAGTACAGTACTGTGCAAAAGTCAGTGGCATCCCTTCATTTTTTGCCATGCAGTCTGCCTTTACAAACATTTGATTCTTATTCCGATTCTGGGCCTGTTTGGGGGTCATGTTCCAAAATGAACCAATCATGCAAACCCACATGTGGTGCCGGGAGCAGATAGCTTCCACACGCACAGTGGACTACACCAGAGTTTGCTCTAAGCAAACCCCAGGAGATCGGTTCTCTGGACTGCTCCCAGGCCCGAAAATGACTTTCACACTTGACCAAACACTGAACTGGTCCTGGGTCCAGAAAAAACTTCAGCTTCAGCTTTGCAGGTTTGGAAGAATATCCCTACAGATTTCTGTGAAAAGGTCTCCCAAAAAGAATCGAAACTGTAATAAAAGACCAAAAGTGGACACACTAAATTATGAAAAATTAGATATTGTACTTAGTTTTTTGTGCCTTTTTTTTAAGACTCTGAAAATTGAATAGCTTGTACATAATGGCTGTTTTGATTGAAATTTAAATTAAGGGTCTCTGATTATGCACAGTACTGTATTTAATGCCATACATTGTAGCCGAGTTGTGGCTTGAGTGCATTGAAGTAATTGTGTTGTTAAATATGCCAACTACGTTAATAACTATTCATAGTGCAGAGGCAATGCACTTATATCATTATAGAACAAAGAAATGAAGACTGTGAAACAATGAGTATTCACACGGTTAATTAGTGTTTTAAACGACTGTAATTACATATTACTCACTACTTATGAACACAAATAATAATAGGCTGTCAAGAGATTAGTATGTAACTATTATTTTTAGGTTATTGTTGTCGGACAGAAGTGGTTTTGCAGCTAGTGGGAAGTTATTTAATAGTGTGAACAGAAGCTGCTAAGCAGTAATAACAGTGATGTTTTTTCCAGGGTCCTGGTAGATGTTGTAGCTGTCCTTAATTATAATATAAAATCAGGGTGAGGCAAATACATCTGCAGGAAACTTCTTAGCAAATTTTTTTCCCACTAATATTCCTGTCTACAGACATGATTTTTCATTTCCAGCTGTTTCAAAGCAGATAAGAGAATGCAAATACTTATGTTATTGTAACGTTTAGAGGTCTAGAGTTATTACTGTCATTTTGCTATGGTACACATTCTGAATTTTTCTGCTTGTTTCAGTGAGCTGCGAGTGAGAAAGTGTTAGGAAGTTTGTTAGGATGTTTCAGGGTGTATACAAAATAAGGGTTAGCCCCTTGAAATGCTGATTTATTATTGAGTTGTTAATCCTTATGCTTATTATTCAGTAACTACTGAGACTAACTGCTATGAATTATATAAAGTAGGTAGTTAGTGTCAGAAACAGGAGTCTGCACCTCCTGATGGTTTCATAGAGTTTAAGGGGTTTTTAAAAAAAGCAGTAATGACAATAAATGCTCTTGAGATATTTACCTATTGTGCTTTTTTGGTTTTTCCCTTTACTTTAGCATTTAGGGACCCCCTGCTTTATCTTGCGGCATGGGGCTAATTTTCAGTGTTGTACGCGGGAGTGCATGGGTAACCAGCTCACTGCAGGTGGGAGCGAAAACATGCATGAAGAGAAATCTCGCAACTTACTGAATATCGTAAATAAAGTAGAACAATCGCTGAATCATATATCTAAACAATATAAAATGACAACAGTAAAACATTTGAAAAGAATGCAGCTCTTTAGAATGACTTCAAAGCAACTGATTGCATGAACAACATGCAAATTATTGTAGCTTGTAGAAATGTTGGAACCTTCTGTTTGTTGGCCACAGCTGCCGAGCCCAGCAAAATACCAAAAATAACCATTGTGTGACTTAATTCCTGCTTTGTGATTACAGGAAATGAATGGCATATGGTGAAGTTACTTCACAGTGAGCCTGATGGCCATGACTGCTGTGTTATTTCAGCAGAGAACAATGTAATTGTGAATAGACTCTGTCAAATATTGGATGTCAGTTCACCTTGATGGAGCTGCACAGGCAGAAGC